TTCCTCGATGTCTAATATTGACATTATGAACATCAGTGTGGAATGTTATTTTCTGATGAAGATAGGAAGGTCTTCCGGTAAGAATGATTTTATGAAAGAGATTTCCAGAATGTAGAAATCTTCTGTTTTCCATATTCAACCAACCCGTTTCACATATCTTGTTGGAAATTCTTTCTTGCTTCCTTATTCCATATATTAACCGAAGGCAAGAATTTTGTACCTTCTGAAACGTTTGTTTATATTGGCTGGTTAAATTTGGTCCATATACGGAGTTCGCATAATTGAAATTAGATAAAACCAAGGTCTCGCAGAGTAAGGATTTCAACCTAATAGGAAGACATTGACCGTACACCATATATAACTCGTAAGGATGAGTATGCTCTTTGCACTATCGCATTTACATGTTTTTCAAACCTCAGGTTGAAATCCAATAATACTCCTAGAACCTTGGTTTCGTCTACAATTTCGATATTTTCATTATTAATTTTGATATCTACTGAATTTAGAACATCAACTCGCTTATTATTGGGTCCATATAAGATAGCATTTGTTTTTGTGGGGTTTATAATCAGACAATGATCAATAGCATTTTTAACAAATATACCGAGTTCTCTTTATTGATTATCTCGCATGCGTCATTCGTTTTTTGAGGCGGAAAATTTAAATAAATTTGGGTATCATCCGCATAACAATGAATGTTGCATTGCCGAATACTTCTAAGAAGATTACCTGAGTAAAGAGCAAACAGTACAGGACCTAATATTGAGCCTTGTGGTACTCCAGATGTGAGTGGAAGATAGTTAGACTCTATGTCGTCAATAGAGACTTTCTGGAATCTATTTCTCAAATAATTTTCTAATAAGCGAATAGCTGTACCCGAAAGCCCTATATATCTCAGAATACCAAGTAAAAGTGTGTGATTAAGGGTATCAAACGCCCTACTGAAATTCAACAAAATGATTATAGTATACCGTCCTTGGTCGGTTGCTCTTATGATATCATCAACAACGTGCAGGAGAGCGGTTGTGCAACTGTATCCTTTTCTGAACCCCGATTGAACAGGTGGCAGTATATTAAATTCCGAAAGATGTTCTGATAACTGCCTACCCATCGCGCGCTCTAATATTTTTGACAAAGTAGGTAAGATACTGATAGCACGAAGATCTTTATATTCAACAGGGTTTGATTTTATTGGCAGTAGGTACTTTAACCAGCGCTCTACCCCAAGTTGCCGGAAAAACACCCTCAAGGAGACAAGTGTTTATAATATGGGTGATATACTCAATTATATGTGGACAACAAAGTCTGATTAGCCTAATATTTAACTCATCACAACCAGCTGCATTCGTCTTTATATTTAAGATAGTTTCGGCAACAAATAAGTCATTTACTTCTTCAAAGTGGAATTCTGTATTCACGAGACGGTTGTGTCTGTAAAAATTCAATAGTTCTTCAGGTGGCTCCAAGTGTGGTGTTGAATTGATGAAGAAATCATTGATTTCCCTAGGATTTTTCAGATTTTCTGGAAAACTGGTTGATTTTCCAGTAACAATATTGGTTTGTTTTAGAGTTTTCCACATATCCTTGGAAGTACTATTATTAAATTTGAATGAGAAAAATGCCTGCTTTTCTCGTTTGATGGCTTTATTCACATAGTTCCGCATATCTTTATAGAATTGAAAATGAACTTCTGATTTCGTCCGTTTAAACCTTTGTTCCTAATAGATATCATTTCCTTTACAGTATCTGTAATCCACGGTGCGCTGGGTCTACTCATCCTTGATCTTATGAAAGGTGCATGCCTGTCGAATAAGTTTGTTAGATTATTGACTAAGAAAGAAGTTTTTGAATCAATATCTTCTTGATCAAAAATTCTGAAGAAGGGGATATTATACAAATCTCTTATAATAGTCAGTTAGTTAGTTTGGCGCATTTTTCGCAATACAGTTGATCATCACCCGTTAAAAGTTCCATTTTCAGATGATTTAACAATAAGCTTTGCACGGACTGGTTATCAGTCATATAGTTGAAGTTCCAGAAAATCGCATACGTTTTTGCTACCTCTTGAACATTTACTACTAAGTAAACAAGTGAGGATTTTTCCAGCAAAAGATCTACAAACACAAGACGAGATAGACTGTACGGAATCATTCAATCCAGAGCGGTCAGGTGTATTGATTCTGCTATTTTTTTGCTCATGAAGAGTATTCAACAAGAACCCTGAGAGTTCGGAACAATCCTCTTGTCCTAACGAGTATATAGTGGTCTTCAAAGACTCCAGGAAATCGGTTGGTGGGAAATATGATAAATTCTTACGAAACTGCAATTGCATGAACAATTTTTTGGTGATCAAGTAAAAAACATTCTCATTCATCGTTAAAACCTCCTTCCTGAAATTATTCGTCATGAACAACATTTGTAAAATACTATTCATATCAAGTGTTTCCTGAATTATCTAATGCTGCCAACTTTCAATGGAGTATCTTCCCATTTAGAGTCCGCGAAAAAATATAATATAGTTTTAAATTGCCCAGCAATACTCATCAATTGCAACCGATAGACAAATCTGTATTTGGACCATTGGAGACCTATTGGGACGATAAAGTTTTGTCACAAGTAGAGCCTTCACCTGGTGAATCACCTAAGTCGGATTTTTTTTGGATTAAAATTCCTTACATCAAGATTGAGAAGAAAAAATTAATTGAAAAAAAAATTATTCATTACTGAAAAAATTAGTCCTCGAAAGAAATCACGGAATTACAGAACCTAGAAAGTGGAGAAGTCTTCAAAAACAAAAATAAGCAAATGATTAAGGAAAAAAGAATGATGAACCAAACAAAAAACAAAAGGTATATGAAACCCTGTATTGCCATTCATCTGAAGAAGACAAGAGTAGCTGATTGGAGACTTTGTAATATATTATGAAAAAGCTAGGAACCTTCATTTGTACGTCGAACATTTAGTGATGATAAACTTTTTCTTCAAGTATTTTTATCTTTTCTTGTTTCATAGTTTCATTAATATAAAAAATGGTAAAAGGGTAAAAGTCTTAATTTGGAATACCCTTCCTTTTTTCTTTCAGAAACATTCAAAGCCTACCATTACGGTAAACATATTTCAGGCAAGCATGTTTTGCCCTGGGCCATAAGACTAATGTGTAGAGATTTCGAAATGCTTTTCATTAAAGGTCTCACCAACCTTATTTGCCACTTCAGGAATTGAATTCTGAATTCAATTTTTCTTTCTCAATTTGAATTTTTTCATTGGTGAATGTGCCAACAGTACTTCAGATACATAGAAGCTATTAGCCTACTGTTGTTTTTTAGGTACTATTTTATGGAAGGAAACTATTGTTTGAATTGAAGGGGTTATATTTTTTAAGAGTGATTAATTTTTGGGAAAGAAAGTTTTTGGCTTTCTACTACTCCATCTTGATACAAAAAAAAGGATGAGGGAGTCTTCCAAAGAAAGGAAGGAAGTAACTCTATACATGGATGTGTAGATCATGCAAAGAAGTAACTTTCGGACACAAACTGAAAGAAAGTCCCCCTGAAACAGCTACTTCCATATAAACATTGAATTATACGAAAGAAAAAATTCTTTCGAAATAAATACTTCCATATGAACACTGAATTATACAGAAGATACTTGTCTCTACTCAGTTTGTATTTCAAACATTCGCTGTGGAATAAAAATCAAATATCATTCACATGAGTTCTACTTTAAATGAATGGTAACAAATTGCACTTACATAGAACACTGCCATCCTCACTGGTATACACCGATGTTTCGCCTTGAGACACTTGCCCTATGGCTCTTCAGTACCAAATTGGATAACATTATAGAAAATACACACACTTCATTCATGAATTACGATTTTTTAATGTCACGGAATGAGCTTGATCTGCTTATCTTTCTTTCCCAAGAAGATATTGTATTGTGAAACTAGCGTTTTGGTTCTGTAAACTGTCTAGTGAAAATCTCACAACGGTTTTTTTGTTGCAGATATTCGTGAAACTGAACAAAGGCCTATAAAAGTTCATAAAGTTGCTGAAAAGAAGCATTTATTTAACAAGGAATAGCACAGTGTCCAGAGTTCTCCATCTTGTCAACTTGGCGAAATCTGGAGTTTATTAGTGTTCATGTGGGACAATGTGACCGAAATTTCTCAAAACGGTGTGCTGAACATGAAAGGTCCTTCGGACTAGGTGAATATTCCACGTTTTCAAAACATTCCTTGGAATGCAACCACAAGTTCCCGAATAAAAACGATACGAAAATTTTGCACTATGGAAGCAAGGGTTGGAAACTCAATTATTTGGATTCCTTGGAAATTGATAAGAATAAGCAGTGCGGCTGTAACTTGCTAAATATTAACAAATCAATCAATCAGTTTTCAAATTAGCTCACCCACTTTGCCACAGGTAAACAAAATGCAGGGACTCAAGTAGTTATTACCTACAGTGGTGTTTCGATATTATATAAGGGCTAATATTATCAATTATTTTCCGTTCATTGTATTCATTTGAAAATTTTCTTATAGGACGAAAGTGCAGTAACGTTAGTTACAAGTGGTAAAAAATAGAAAGTATTATTTCCCATTATTCATGATGATCTCCTACCACATAGTAACAGCTGCATCCATCAATTTATTCAATCTTAATATTACGACTTTGTAACGGATGACAAAAGTCTACTCATGTTAGTATTTCAGTATGTAGACATTCATGCGTTTTTTCAACAGCTCTATATGATATATCACTAGAAAAAGTTTAATGTCACACTCTATCCAAAACCTGATTTCTTAAAATTTGGAAAACTGACCCATCCAAAGGACTGTTAACTCATCATAGTATCTGCCAAAGTAGCATTTTAGATCTATAATGTCCCAGTACAAATCACAATCAAAAAATGTAAGTGTTATCTGCTGAACAAATCAGAAATTGAATTTTTTCTCAATAATAACAGAATTTTTTTGCTACTTTGAATAAAATCCAATATTTTGACTGTGAACTCATTTATTTTCATTTTTCATTATTGTAATATCACCTATAAGGTGTATTCTCTAACACAGTATAAAACTACAAGATGTAGAACTAGTAAAATCAAACGATCGGCTGAATATAATACATGTTGTGAATGACATATGGAGGGATTTATAAAATTTACAAATTTTTTGATCACGTTGCTACTTACAATTTTCAATTAAGAGCTGGTAAAAATAGTGAAACTTATACATTAAAACTTATGTACAAATATAACTGCCTTGCTAAAATATAATAAAATAATTGATAAAACCTATGAATAAAATGTTATAATCGTTTCAAAGTATTTACACCTAATGAGGAAGATTTCACTTTTCTGGTAGGTTGAACTGACATTGGGGCTACAGGCTGGCTGTCTGCATTATCTGTGTTACTCAATTCCTGAAAATGAAAAACGTTTTAGATTAAAAAACATAACTAAATATCTTTCAAAGACTTTATCTAGCTCAGTGACTTATTACTAAATATGAGCTGGCCATTGATGAGAGGGCATTGACTACAACAACTAAAAAAAGTAGACATTCACATCTTGGCATTTACGACACTTATACACTTAACGTCAGATACGTCACTTTCTTATGTGTTGCATATTTCCATATGAAAATTGTGAGATTTGATTCGTTACATGATACTGTGACGCAGTAGCCAAAACATGTGATATGCAGGAGGAATATATGTAAAAGAGACGTCACGCCCAGTCCATATTATAATATGTCTATGGTTTAGCTCAACTAAAACATTAATAAATAATAACCCTGTTAGTTACAGTCAACGATCTTCACAAAAGTTATTGCCACAAGAACCCTAGATCTACAAGGAAAAAATCATGTGATTTTGAGTTTATTTATGACAGAACCTCAGAGACCCACGAACATGTATAATTTTTGGAGAAAACTTTGCTCTTGAGTAACTTTTGTACCAAAGACTTGACGGTAGTCAAATTGAAAATAGCTTTTGGAGGACCTGAGGAAAGTGGATCAGTGTATCTTCCTCACAATAGTATGAGACCACCACCAAACAGGACCAGTTTGGTGAACTAGAAAGTACTGGTGAAGACCATCTGAGTAGACAGCTCACAGCTCATAATTGGCTGTGATGCCAATGCACACCACATGGTCTGGGGAGCCCTGAGACATATCAAACAGCAAACAGTTACATTTATTATGACAATTTGAACATGTTAATCATAGGTAATAAATCTGCATTCATGTGTACGAGACATAGGAAAGCAATAGACAAAATAAGACAATACATTTATATGAAATCATGTTCTGAAATGGAACGAAGAAATCTAGAGACTCATCGGGAAAGGCGAGGTTGAAGAAACCCAAGCATTTTTTCTAGACTCTATAAAATGCTGTCTCTGACAGACAGATTAAACTGACAGATTTCAAAAGGAAGATTAAACTGACAGTTTAATCTTCACAAGGTCACAGCAAAGTCGGATATATCTCCAAGTCATTATTCGGACTACATAGGATTTGTAGGTATAAGAATATAGGATTTATTCCCATGTTAAATTGTTATAGTCGACCACAGTTGCAGCCACTTCTATAGGTGTTCAAGCAAAAAAAACTTCGCAGGTCTCAATAAATAGTATAAACATCAAAAACTGCCAGAGAGACTAGAGCTTCTCCTGGTGTAAATTCAAACGTGGAGGCTCCTAAAAGGACGTCCAGGAAAGATTGGTTGGTGGCAAAGAAAGCGGTAGATTTGGAGAAAATTATATGTGCCATAGACCCATTTCCACCACATATGTAACTGGGATTCCTAACAGTAAGTAACAAGATAGAGGTAATTACATGCCAACCAACATACTTACGCTCAAACTGATCGCACTCAACAATTCCGATAAATTGCAATACAATGTTTAAAAAATGTTAAATCATATCATATGGGGAAGGGATTCCGGTTATTACATTAAAATGGCACAAAATCAAGTTGGCAGTACTGTGCATTCAAATGTTCATTTATGAAAACCATTTAACATTTACAGTGCATGATTAAAATTAAAACTACATTTGTACAGGGTAATGATTATTCTAATTTACGGAAATCAACTGGGTGCAATGTCAAATGTATACTGTGTGTCATTCAAATTCACTCACCAATTTTACCTACTGCCTATACAGCATAATCTCGGGACCAGTTTGGACATATAAAAATGTAATAAGAAATAAAGTAATGGGTGACGTTTGGAAGACTCGAAAATTACCGATTTCATTAAAAACAAGAGTAAATTAGATCTAATTCCACGTCACAGATCTCATACAACTTCAATAGCAAGCTTTTCTAACTTGTAAGTCAAGAATAATACCAATTTCTGAATATGCACAAATAAATTCATAAAGAAATACTCTCATGCCCAGAATTTGCTAGGAGTTCAACTGCACCTAAACTGAATGAAACTGAACACAAAGTTTCTTTGAAGAACACTAAATGAAAGTTCTCATAATCAAAAATTGTTTGAACAACAAAGTCGTACATGAACATACATTATTAATATTATTACACTTGAAAAAAATCTGTTTTAAAATCTCGTTAATCAGCTGTCGCCACCATACGAACGACAACTCTCAGAAGTTGAGAAACTTGTGCGAGCTAAGGACTAACAAGGTCTTACCTTTCTACATGTGATTCCTAATACGGTTGTAGAATCACCCCAGCTTCAACCAGATAAGTTCTCTCGAGAAAAATATCTGGTCGAGGCGGGAATCAAACCCACGGTCTTCCGATCGTGAGTCGGGCGCACTACCACCGCGGCCAATTCCACAACATACAAGCAACCTCAAACGTGAAGGTATTCTTCATATTTTACTAGTGTAGCGACTTTGTCATTCAATATATAGTTAAAAATCATCATTTCCTAGCAAGTTCATAAACTTTGTTTGAAATCACACATTGAAAGGTAAGACCTCGTTAATCCTTGGCTCGCACAAGTTTCGACTTCTGAGGGTTGTCGTTCGTAGGGGTGCGACAGCTGGTTAACGGAAAAACAGATTCTTAACAAATATAGTATGAAGTTAGTGGAAACAATAATTTGTATGTTTAGCTTCCTTTTGCAAAAGGTTTACATTTCGGAGAGCTATCCTACAAATTTTAAGAAGCTGCCTTTTTCTTATTGATTGTAAAATTATAGTTTTCTTTTAAAAGGCGTCTCAGCATCAGAAATGCCCAGACAGCATATAAGTTAACTTTTTACAGAGTCGCATACATTATTTCATCATTATTTTTCATCTTATTTGATGGAGAAAATTAATAAATACAAGAGTTTACTAATTGATTTTTTTTCTTCAAAAATGTTATTACTAAGTAACTTCTCAATTGTTCATGTCTGAGTGATGAATATCACTCAGACATGAACATATATGAAAAAAAATGTTGTTTAAAATATTTTTTTTCCGTTAACCAGCTACCGCACCCCTACGAACGACAACCCTCAGAAGTCGAAACTTGTGCGAGCTAAGGACTAACGAGGTCTTATCTTTCAACGTGTGATTCCTAACATTACATTCTTTCGAAAATCAGTATAGGAATGTAGGCCTTCATGGCTGTCGTAAATGTTTTGGTTGGAAACCAACCAAAAAGACTTCTAGGACTTTAGCCTTGTAAAATAAGAAACTGTCCAGGAAACTAATTAATTTCACCAGAAGTCTAAGCATTTTGGAGCTGGAATATTTTGGAATTATGTATAAAAGACTCCTAGGTTGCAGTAAGGGGAAAATGGAGGATTTGAAACCAACAATCGATAATCTAGTGGTGGCCCAAATGAATTCTTATGACTTACCACTTGAGCCTTATGCATGAATGGAAAGCACTGATAAGTCCTTTTCTTTGAAATGGGTATATTGTTATTTAGATAGTTAACTTATCACGGTGAACTAGAAGTTTGCCTTTTCTAACCTTGTATAAAATTGTCAATTGCAATTATTTTTTCTTTCAATAAACTAACTTCATTCAAAATTTCATCAAAGAGTTGAAGATAGAGAGGAAGAATCCGAACATTTATAAAAGAGTGAATGGAACCTAGAATCCAATACTTCTATAACAAAAATTACCATTTAGACAAAAATATTTACTAACTGGACTTAGTAACGGATAGTATTTTGTATAATACTTGATGTAAATCTATTAACTACTAAATAGTATAATTTTAATATAATAAACAGTCACAGTTGTAGACGAAATGTCAGGCTTAAAAACCTTTGACTTCCGTTCAAAAACTGCCACTGAAGAGAGCGTAAGGCAGCTGCAGTGGCATGAGCAATGGCAGCGCGAGCGACGTGTTTACATATTCGCGCTGCCCACTGCCCTGCTCAGTGCCGCGGAAGTGAGCTGCATTTAAAGCCCCTATAATAGATCCACTCCCATTGAACCTTACCTAACCGACATCCCACAATTCAACACAAACACGAAAAACTACTCACGTTGAGATTGCTGTAACTGGCGAGTTTCATCTGGGCAAGCTGCGAGGCGGGTGTGAGATTCGTTGAGCTTCCAAAAGGCGACATCATCGATGATACTGCTCTTTTCAGTTTCGAGGGGGTTTTGTTGAAGGAAAAAGCGCGACCGACTTTTAATCTCGTCGTCGCGAATTTGAAGGCTTTCGAGAGGGTGCCGTTGCTCACATCGCTAGTGTCGATGTCCAACTGCTGGGGTTCGAGGTAGGCCATAAATTTATCCTGGAAAATAAAAAAAGATGTTTTTTTTTTAATGTGAATATGAAACATTAATATAGAAAGTGTAGATTTTGAGGAACTATGGTGTGGCAACTCAGTATTCCTAAGGGAAACCAATGCTAAAGAGGTATCTGAAGTCATAGTTGCACTCAATAAAAACTCTGCAGCAGGGCACGACAACATATCCGTTACAGACATAATATTATTTGACAAAAATGTCATTTCCATACTCATTAATTTGATAAACGATATTTTCAAAGCTGGGATATTTCCTGAGATACTGAAGACTGGAAAAGTAATACCAATATTTAAGGGTGGTGATAACAAAAACTTAGAAAATTATAGAACTATAACAATAGTGTGTTCATTATCTAAAATTATTGAAGAAATTGAGAACAGAATAATGGACTTTGTTGATCATTATGTAGGATTTGATGAGTATCAGAATGGTTTTATCAAAGCAGCACTCTAAGCGCCACAATAGATTTCATTAATAATATTACATCGGAATTGGATAAAAAAAGAATGGTTATTGCAGTTGTTCATTGATTTAAGAAAGGCATTTGATGTTGTTCACCATACTGTTCTTCTGGACAAACTATGTTGCATGGGTATAAGGGGCAAAACTTATTCTCTCATTGAGACATTTTTAAAGGAAAGATCCCTACTTATCCCTACTTATCTAATCTAAAAAATTCATTCAATGAATAAAAACATTGTTCAATTAGAAAACTCTTTAAATTTCTCTAAAACATCACATAATTATGTTCTTCCCTTAAATGATAGGGCAGTTTGTCGAATATTTTTATTCCAATGTATTCTGGTGCAAATGAAGTTATTCTTAGTCTTGCATATGGCACATGAAATCTATTTTTTGTTCTAGTGTCATAGTGATGAACATTTTTATTCATTTTGAAATGTGTTTTGTTTTTGAATATGTAGCTGCATATTTCAAATATATAAACAGATGTGTGTTATTTACTGGAGAACACAGTTAATGAAGATCTCTCTAAATACTCAAATTGGCTTGCATATAATAAACTTAAGGTGAACTCTGCAAAAACCGTTCACATGCTATTTAAACAAAAAAATAGAATTTGTGAAAATGTTGAATTAAGAATAAATAACTTTCCCTTAATGAATGTTGCAAAAACCAAGTATTTGGGATTCATAATAGATGATAAGTTAAACTGGTCAGGACACAGAACATATTAATGATAAAATTGTACCAATGTTAGGAGCTCTATATAGGTGTTCCAGTTACTTGAGTTTCAGTAATAGATACTTGGTTTACAATGCATATATATTGGCGAATCTTAGGTATCTGTTAATCATATGGGATAATTGTGGCATTACTAATTTCAAAAAAATTCAAACGCTACAAAATAAATCAATAAAAAATTCATTTCAAATTCCATTCGAACCCACACACATGATTTATTCTCATAGACTGAACTACACCCAATTAAATATATACTTAAACTTGAGCAATGCAAGAACATATATAAAATAAAAAACAAAATAATCAAATTAATTTTAATCAATAATCAATTATAAAAAAAAAATAATCAAAAGCAACAACGATTTACTAGTCAACAACTAGTTTTATGAGTATAATACAAGGGGTAGAAATGACTTACACCTGAGCATGGTAAGAACGAACAAAGGATTATACAATCCTTTTACACAGGCTATAAAAGTCTTCAATGAATTACCTGTCCATATACGTGAGTTGCCGGGCTATAGTTCATTCGTCAATAGTTTAAAAGAACATCTGAGCTACGAAGCACATGTCTGATATGTTGATACTATGAGCTTTGTAGTGGTTTACTAGTTTTTGTGTTTCACTTGTCATGTTGAATGTTTGTGAATCTCGAGACTAGCATTTTTGCTGATTAGGGAGAATAACCACATATTTTATATTTATAGTGTCTTAACTATGTTGAACTGTACGCTGTGGTTATATTTTTAATAAAAAAAAAAATTTTTGACCTCACAACTTTCATTTTATATTCACACACTCATACTTCAATTATTGAAAAAAACTACTGTCAAATGTCATATTTAAATGATGAACTTCCCTAAACAAAAAAAAAATACCTTCCACAACAAATTTTTACCCTTGGTCACTATTAGTATTACTTTTTAAACAGCCCTCGTACAAATTTATCTATTTAAGGGCAAGCCCATTCAAAGTATAAATTACATTGTTAAACTGTAATTAAAATAAAATCAGATAAGGTACTGAATCAAAAATTCCAACTAATAATAGCTTAAAAGAAGTAAATTAAAAGTTCAAAAAGGGGTTAATTTTAGAGTATAAAACGACAAAAAATAATGAGCGACAATAAAACATATACTACATATATACTACCATAAACTATGCACTAAAACATTAAAGCACTGTATTCCGTAATTGAGTTTTAAAATGTTGCAAGGAGATGTTAAACATCTCAAGATCAACGTTACTATTGGCTAATCGTGAGATTCTTGAAATGCAGCTAGTGTGGTTCAAACAATAAAATGGTACATAAAATGTTTGTTGCTGTCGAGTGGAGCGGTTTTGCACATATAGATAATTTTTTTCTAGGAGTTCAGCACAAATTAATTTGCCGTTAATAATATTGAAAAGTAATGTCAGATCTCTTTGTTTCCTCCTAGTTTCCAGAGAGGACATGCTTAAAGATTGCAGTAGCAACTCATACTCGCAACGAACACATTTATATTATATGTATATGACGAAGTTGTGTTGGACATTTTCGATGTTCTTAATATAAGTTACACAATGAGGGGACCAGACAGAAGAACAATACTCCAGGTGTGGACGGACCAGTGAACAACAAAAGGATTTAATAGCAGTTGGGTCAGTGAATTCGTAGGTTAGCCGTTTGATAAACCCTAGCGTTTTCATGGCTTTATGGATAGTCGTGGGTATATGTAGATTGAAGTTCAAGGTGGGATCAAGAACAACCCCAAAGTCTTTTATTTGATTAACAGGCTCCAAGACATGACCATTTAAAGTGTAATCAAAAGTGGTAGAAAGTACATGGGATTGATAAAAGCTCATGACATGGCACTTTGTGGCATTCAAGTCCACGCCATTTAAGGAACCTATGGGCATCCAAAGAGGTTTTAGTAAATAGGAAAAGTTTTAAATCATCTGCAAATAATAGTGCTTTGGAAGCAATGAATAATGTCGTTAATAAATAATTTGAATAATGAGGTACCGAGGTGTGACCCCTGAGGAACACCAGAGGTTACTTCGAATAACGAGGAGTAGTGATAATTTGCTCTAACCATTTTAGTCCTATTCAGTCCCAGTAATCCATGCCAGTAGTACCCCATTTTCACCATATCTGTTGAGCTTTTAGAGTAAGAGGTTATGGTTGACCCTGTCAAATGCTTTAGAGAAGTCAGTGTACACAAAATCATTCTGGCAGCCTTTCTCCAAAGATTTCGACAGGAAGTGGGAATACGGAATAGCTTCTCCTCTCTGTTACCTCTTTAACTTATCGTTAAATACAGCAACGTTACCTGATGTTTGGAAACTTGCCAAAATTTGCCCAATTTTAAAGAACGGGGATGTTTCAAACATATCAAACTACAGAGAAATTTCAATTATCTCAAAGTTCTCGAAGGCGTTTGAAATTATCTTGTATAAGCACATTTACTTGTCAACACACAACCAAATAAGTGAATTTCAACATGGTTTCATGAACCACCGCAGCACTGAATCAAATCTAGCACTGTTTTCCTACTACGTGTGCTCAACATTGGATAATCAAGGACAGGTGGACGTGATATACACAGATTTCTCAAAGGCCTTTGACAAAATTGATCATAGCATCTTACATTCGAAACTTGACCTTATTGGCCTTAGTAATAAGCTACTAGGCTTTTTTGAATCGTACCTTTTTAACCTTAACCAAATAGTTTGTTACAACGGATACAAATCAAACACAATAATTGCTAAGTCTGGCGTACCCCAAGGATCGAATTTGGGACCACTGTTGTTTTTGATATTTATCAATGATTTAAGCACACAAATAAATTCTATGAAACTTTTTTTTGCTGATGACCTGAAAATACTGAATTATATCCAAAATGTGAATGATTGCATAACACTTCAGGAAGATATAGATAATGTGCAGGCTTGGTGTGAAATTAATAACCTACATCTGAATATAGGTAAATGTAATGTAGTGTCATATACTAGAAAACATGGAAATATTGAACATCCATACAATATTCAAAGTAGTTTGCTAACCCGTTAAGTGGAGACTAAGAATTTAGGTGTATTTTTTGACTTTAAAATGGCATTTGCCAATCACATAAACAAAAAAGTTTCCGAAGCCAATTAAATGTTAGGATTTATCACACGAAATTGTCAGAACCTCACAAACATAAACGCCTTGAAGATATTATATTTCTCATATGTCAGATCCAAGCTTGAATACTGCTCAATTATTTGGAGCCCCTACTATTTCTGTCATGAGTACTCAATTGAAAAAGTTCAAAGAAAATTTTTGAAATTCTTGTACTTCAAAAACACTGGAATTTATCCAGCTAGGGGTTCTGACCACTATAGTCTTCTCAATCACTTTCAATTAATTTCTTTAGAAAAAAGGAGATGTGCTTCAATAACCTTTTTGCTTAAACTACTGCACAGCCAAGTAGACTGCCGTTTGCTCCTGTCAGAACTGAACTTTAAGGTGCCAAGACCTCAGTCACGGCTGAATCTCACAGTTTACTGCTCTGCAGCACGAACAAACATAATATTGCATTCTCCAATTAAATATATGTGTGAAAAATACAACTCGATATGCAGCTTTTGCGATATTAATACTTGCTCGGCGAATCATATAAAAAAAAGTTGCAATGGAAATCTTAAAGTGATATCAAAACTGTATTTTCTTTTTTGTGTTGTGAGAGAGTCAGTTATTATAATCACTCTTACCAAGTAGCGCAATGAATAGTTATGCTATCAGTTTTTTCTTTTGTTTTAGTTTTCTTTCTTTTATTTTCTATTCGATGTTATATATCATTGTCATGTTATATTCATATAGCATGTCAAGAATAAACATGATTTGTTAATTTATTTTATCTATTATCAGTACTGATCTATTTAATTATGTCCTGTAATTGGGTGTTACCTGTTGGGCAATAAATGATATTATTATTATTATTATAGGTAACTAGGTTTAATTTAGTCAATTTACCACCACAAAAACCATATTGTTGTTCAGTTATGATGCCAGAGCAATCATAAGTTAGGTAATCTGCCAGAATATTCTCGAATACTTGGGAATTGCACTGAGAATAGATATCGGTCGGTAATCATTAACTTCTGACGTAGTACCCGATTTGTATATTGGGAGAACTTATATGAATGCATAGAAATTAAACATTGTAGATAACTAAATATTTGTAAAAAACATTTTGTGCCTTGATGAAATATATTTTTTTTCAATATTTTGCATCATACTCACTGCATCAGCGGTACAAGCGTTATTCGCCATCTGCCTCGTCAATGTTTTCAAAAATGCAGGCTTGTCTGCATCTTCGTCCATCGCAAAAGAATACAGCCTCTCTTTCATATCGTCGTTGTTCCTGCAGACCAAACTGAACACTTTCTGACACTCTTCAGTCTCTTTGATGTCTATCACTCGCTTGATAGTGTTGAGAGCCATGAGCTTCACGTGCTTGTATGGTTTGGCATTGGGTTTGCTTTGGAGGCTGCCTGTATAAAAAAAATGTGACATTTGGGAAAATATTTTTTTTGTTCAATGGTAAAGAACATTTTTGAATGGAGTGAAATCAAAGAAATATTCATAAGGCAAACTTCCAACGAATTGTTGGGGAAACCCAAGAAATCAATATTTTTGGAGATTTTCATAATCTTAAAAAATTTGAAAAAACCATGCGTATTTCTTCTTCATTGTTACGAGTATTTTTGATTATGTTTTTGTGCAAAGATCACAAACGGATTTCAAGTGTAGTCCGGTGATAAGTAATTAGTTTTAAAACAAATTGTAAATCCTTAAATTTAAAACCTTGTTATTCCACCCCGAAATGGGTGAACATAATAAAAAATAAAAATGTACTCTATTCCAATAAAGATGGCATTAGGCATGTTTTTTTTTGAGGTTTCATCTAGGGTCCCAACTTTTGAGCGAGAGTTTGAATACTCAAAGTATACTATAAGCGTTTTGATACTTTGGGTATGAGTACTCTGCCTATATAAGTTCTCCATAAATAATAATAACAATTACAATAAAAACGGTAATAATACTTACCACCCACAGTCGAAGGGCTCTTTAGACTATTGAAAGCTTTGGATTTCTTCTTACACACCTCTAGCTGATCCGAGAAGAGGAAGAGAACTAGATTATTGCCTTTGCTGGAGAGCCCTTCGGAAGAAGAGAGTTGTACTACTTCAGCTTTCGCTATGAAACAACGATGGGACGAAACAATGTCGGGCTGAAAATGAAAATTTATATGTTAGCAAAAATTTTGTGGTACATTCAATTCAAGAAATAACAGGAATCTCCCGGATATCGTTACTGTATTTATATTTATTATTATCATTATAGTCTTGACTCAATATCTTTTGGATCATGATAACCCAATTATCTAATATAATTGAATGACTGGTAAAAATTCGAGTGATGGACCCCTTAATAATAAAAAATAATCTCAGTGAAGAATGATTTGATTTCCAAGATTGAAAAAGTGCAAATGATGCAATATTTTTTTGACATATGCGGATATAAATGAAAGTGAGACTTCTGCAACAGTGTTTTGAGAACTACTGAAACATTGAGAGTGTGAACTGCAGTGTTCTTTTGTATAAAATTCATAAATATGGCTTCTAAATGTTCACAAAAAAACTATATTAAATTAAAAGATATAAAGCGACAAGAGAAAAAAAATCTACTGATGCTTTCATTTTAAATCACGAACATCGCCCTTTGTTTCATTACCAGTAAACCATTTTTGTTATTTTATTGTATATTCGTGTATTGCTGATGAGATAATAAATACAATATTACCAGTTATTAGAGTCAGGTGTTTCCCAAGGGTCAGCTTTAGGCCTCATAATGTTTTTACTGTATATAAAGAAGATTATCTGGCTAGATATCCTCTTTGTAGACAATACAACTCTGTTTTGGCAAGATATACATCACGAAAGATTAAAATACTGATCTAGAAAAAGTCAAGAACTGGGATAACGCAAATCTCTCAATAATCCACATTCAAAAATCCCTACTTTCAAATGTACAATTAATAACTTAGGGATAACTGATGGAAACAACTAAATTTTTAGGGACTAACGTTGACAATACTTCTAGTTTAGCAGTTGTAAATGTACTTCAGTATCAGCCAGTCAAAAATATATAATTTGCTTTGGTAGAGTCCCACCAGCAATACAGTACAAAATTTTGGGGTTTGTGCAGTGATGAACGTTTTCAATCAATCTTCGTACTACAGAAAATATCACTTGGCTAGGTATGCATATCGAAAAGAAGAGATTTGTGTTGAGTACTCTTTGTTAAACAAGAGACACTAAAATTATTCTCATTTGGAAACGGGAAGCCTCATACACAAACTCTGAGGGAAACTACTTAAACTAATGTATAAGTTTCAAAATGATCTTATAGGACGAAACTGCAGTAACGTTAGTTACAAATAAAACGTGGTAAAAAACATAGAAAGTTTCAATTCTCTTTTCTTCATTATGATTTCCTACTATGTAGTAACGGTTACATCCATCAATTTATTGAAATAAAATATTATCCAGATGAATTTCAACTTACCGGACAGTTATCAATATCGTTGAAAATGTTGAACAAAGTTACTTGTCCTTCTGTTTTTCTTTTGTCTTCATTAATATGGGTCATAACCTCCCTTAAGGCTGCCAAGGCTTGATCTAAGGCTGGATAGTCTGGATTTGTCTTTTGAGTATTCTTTAAAATATCTGGAATAGATAGATGGGGTTTTACTGACTTTAAAACATACAAAAACAGCCCCAATCCACTAATATAGATTATACAAACCGTTTGTTTTTATGCAGTTCACAAGAGGTGTTCTTCTATACAGTAACCTACTAGTAGTATTGTGATTGTGAATTTAGGGCCCAGTCACAATCTTATTTTGTTTTTATATGCCCATAATATTGCTTCCATGATGTATAAATATATCATATCACATAAAAAAAAGTTATTTACAAGAATAGAGGTTTAGCAGGCTGCCTCATACCAAGCTTAGACACAGTTCTCACAATTCAATTTTGAATTATATGAATAACTGTTGAAATCATGGAATCGTAACCCATAGTATAATATAATAGTGGATCATACATATTACATATATTGTAAAGCTTTAGTCGTTATAAGTCAATAAAATCTCAACTAGAATATTCACAGCAACAGTACTTCACCTGATATTCCACGTATCTCTTTTGCGATTCTGGTTCCAATTAAAGACATTGTTTCATTTGCTTACATGAAAACATTTACAATATAGAGAAACTTTGGTAGCTCATGTTAACATTTAATACAATAAATTTTACTTAAAACAAGTTTCGGTACTCGGTAGCTTCATCAGTTACTGGTATATCGAACTATTCTACAGTATCTTTTATATAACAGAAATAGAAATAGTTTTATTCATCACTACAATTTTCATACATACACAATTAGAAGATTCAATACATGAGAAAACTTATTGTACTAGTCAAAAAAGTAAAACTTAAAATCTAAACACAAATGTTTGATCTTGAACAAATTTAAAAAAGACTAGGTACATGTATAAAAGAAACTATGTCATTTATCTAAGTACTGAAATCAAGAAATTCATCCATACCGTAGAAGTAGTTATCCAACAAGAAACCATATAGTTCATTCCTCATTACATTTCTACTTTCATTGATCCCTATAAAAGTTGTTATTTTATTGAAGCATTTAATATCCAAGTAATTTGGGGAATTCGGACTCACACTTACAGGCAGTTACATGCAGTAACAGTTACTGTTACTGCCTGTAACAGTAACTGTATGGTTACTGCAACAGTGACTGTTACATGCAGCACTGTTACGTTCAATATATTGTTAATGTAATAGTACTGCAACTGTTACAAACATTACTGTTATAGCCAATACTGTTACAGTAACTCTTGCAGGCAGTAACAGTAACTGTAATATAAAAGATATTGTAGAATAGGTTGGTGTACCAGTAACTGATAAAGCTATTGTTTAGTGAAACATGTTTTGAATAAAATTTATAGTTAAAATTCTATAATTATCATCATGAATAGTGTTATAAATTTTCATCAAGAAACGGGTCAAAGTATTCATAATATGAATACAATGGTTCCTGAGGTACACTTGAAGACATTGTTGTTCTACGATATGTCTATTAGTGAAACTAGATAACATATCTATTTTCTGGAGAATTAATTTTTAATGATGTAGGAGTACCTTTGTAAATCTATAACCAAAACAAGCAATTGAATCTCCTTGTCTGAGAATTGGGGTTATTCTAAAAGTATAAAATGAGATGGAAACCTCTGACTTGTAAATAAATAAAAAATTAAATGAATATGTGAATGAGCTCAACCATCACATTTTACACATCCATATTTGAACTCAATAATAAAAGGAAAATGGAAAAACAATCAAATTGAACTCACCAGCTAATAATAAACTCATGCTGCCGAGTCTCTGCACAGGTCGCATCATGAGTTCCTTGAGGCTTTGCCTTCCACACTCTGGCCTCGTCTGGCAAGCTTTGAGGAAAGCGTGAAACCTAGGTTTGTTCTGGTCACATTGGCACAGCACCTCTTTCATTTCCTCGAAATAATTTATGAATGGCGGGTACGCTTTGAGAAGCTCCGAAGAGTATTTTACGATTATATTCCCTATGCTACGCTCTTCGTTCCAGTGCGCCAGAGTCCATCGAAACTCGTCCAACATTTTGACGTGGGTCTCGTATATGGGAGGTAGCTTGCCGAAAATGAGATTCAATTCGGTATTGTTCAGTAAGGCTTCTTCGTCTGGCATATCTTCCAGGTGTTTTTTGAACATCTATAAATCAGTCAATAATTTTATACAATGGAGTATTAATATTGAATAGGCATGTATTGGCAATGTAATAAATGAATCAGTTTGAACTAATTTCAAATTTGTTTTTTTTAAGAGAATATTGATAAAATGGTTTTTGCTACCAATTTATTTTTTAATTTTTAGTTATCAGCTAGAAATATTCCTCAGTTTGTTTTCATTCATTCAATTATAACTAAATGACAGTCGTATGGTGGTCAGCCATTATGGTAAAAGTATAGTCTGGTAACTTTGAGAGACCCCCATAATGAATTTAAAATAACTTCATTTTATTTTTCGTACTCTTTTACAGCAAACCCTTCCATTCAATACCCTGTATCATGAAAAAACATCAATCAATCAAACATTTATTGAATCAGTTCTCCTTCACAATCACATTAAACAAGAAAAAAAACATAACATCATCATAAAATACTGGCTGATTCAACAGGTCAAACAATCATGAAAAAGATAAAAAAGTCAATATAAAACATAAAACATACATAAAAAACAAAAAGTTAATAAGCTACAATCCAAATTAAGAATCAAGGAGAAACTCATCCACAGAGTAGTATGCTTTTCGCAATAGAAAAATCTTGAGTCGCCTTTTAAAGATATTGATATTTGAGGATTTAATGTCCTCACTGAGCTTATTACATAACCTAGTGTTTCCCAAACTTTTCGAATTCACGGCTCCCTTATGTTTTTTGAAGGTTATCGCGGCGCCCCGAACGTAAAGATTACACTAGATATTTAATTAATAAATGTAGGTAGGTGGCTGTCTGAACGGATTGCATTTTGCAATTACCGATATTATCATATTATCAGAGGATTTTTATCAATAGGTACCGACGTATTACTTTTACTCAGTTATCTATGTTGTAAAACGTTGTACCTTGAGACTCACCCGTGGCCCACGACACCCCAGTAAAGGTTCCACGGCGCCCCAGGGCGCCGCGGCGCACACTTTGAGAAACACTGGAATGCACGTGGGGTGATTCTTTGATAATGTCAACCTACTATAAGGTTGATGTAGTTGAGAGTTATTTCTGGTGAAATGTTCAAGGATTTGCTCATTTCTAGGAATAATTGAAATATTGTTCTTTATATATATATCAGTGTTTGGTAGATATACAAACTAGGCATTGTTAATAAACTATAACGAATGAATAATGGCCTGCAGTGTTCACTTGAAGATGCACCAGCCAGAATTATGATTACCTTTTTCTGAATAACAAAAAATTCATTAGCTTTAGCTGATAAGCCCCACTGTTCAAGACCATAGGAAATTACTGACTGAATTAAACTGTGGTATAGAAGCTTGAGAACATCAAGAGAGACTGTTTGTTTTAACCAAAGAAGTAAATATATATGTTTACTGAGCTTCAGTTTGACACTATCAACATGGAACTTCCAGGAAAGTTTATTATCAATATCAACACCTAAGAATTTAGTGCAATCAACTTGATGTATAATTTCATTATTTAATCTAACCAAATAGCTTTTATCAATTGTTGTATTTTTAGTAACAAAGTTGAGCATTTGAGATTTAGCATTAGCTTTGACAATTACTTCGGACATAGTTCCCGCAGATACTAAGATGTTAGTATCGTCCGCAAAAAAAACAGTAATGGAAGCTTTTGGACAAAATTTCAGAAGATCATTTATAAAAACAAAAAATAGAATGGGTCCGAAAACAGAGCCTTGATGTACCCCTCCTGATATACATTTTCTTTCAGAATTCATTCCATTCACACAGACCAGCTGACTATGATGAGTCAGGTAAGATCCAATCCAATTCAATGCAGAGCCACGTATACCATAAAACTGCAATTTGTGTAACAGTATGTTATGGTCAACAAGGTCATAGGCTTTGCTCAAATCAAAAAATAATCATAAAGTCTGCTGTTTGTTTTCCAAGATTTCCAGCGAATGTTTAATGAGTTGACCAATTGCACCATCTGTAGATTAATTTCTTCTATAATCATTCTGACTAGAAGAAAATAATCTGAATGATTCAAAGTAATCATATAATCTTTGATAGAAACAGTATTCAATAATCTTAGAAAACTGACTAAGTAGCGATATAGGCCTGTAAGATGCACAGTCAGATCGAGAGCCCTTATTTTTGTATATTGGCAAAACCTTTGACATTTTCAGTATATCAGGAAACCTCCCCTCAATGAAAGTGGAGTTGAACTATATGAGTCAAAGGCTCAGAAATCACATTGGCAACCTTTTTAATACCATGACCAGGAATTTCATCAATACCAGACGATTTTTACTTACAAAATTTTTTGATAACTTGTTCAAAGGTTGCATATAGCAAAATTATCAGAAAGAATGTCTCCACCTTCAGCACTTTGTAGACGAGGTATGGCATTGCCAGTATAACCATTCAGAGCTTCCTTGATGATTTTCCAGGATTCTTTCACTTTATTGTCAGTAGAAGAGATTCTATTATCATTGCAAGTTCTTTTAGCACGTTTCAATTTAACCTAATAAAAAATTATTCTGCATCATGTGTGGTCCGCCACATTGGATTTAGAGTGACGTGTTATTATTTTTTGTATTCTTTTCAGGAAACCTTTCCGTTTGAGCCCATGTCATGGGGGTGCATAAAAAACGTGTCCGCCATTTTGGGCGGTCCGCCATGTTTGATGTAAAATGACGTCACTTAGCTAACCGTGCATTGTCATTCAAACTGAATGTGTATGCAAACTTTCAGCTCAATTCAGTTGCGAAACTTGACCCAAAATGACCTGAATACATTCAAAGCAAGTGGAATAAAAGCTGATGATGAAAACACTTACGGTCATGATAGTATGCAATATATCCACATAGTTACTCTCTGTCTGCAACAACTCCAGAAAAACCTGATGCCGCTGAGTCAACCCCTTTCTGGGAGTTTCAGCCAAAGGTTCTGTTACTTCCAGTATCTCCTTGTTAGGACTCGTGGTGCAGTCGAGAAATGATCCGGAAACAGACAACAAACCGGCATCGCTAATCGACGACCTCCTTTTATGCAGGGCGGGGGACTGGGGTTGAACGAGGGATGAGAGAGTTTCGTGGAGACGTTTTCTCTTTCTTCTGCTACCGCTGCTAGGGGTGGGAACGAGAGAATCCCTTCTACCGACGGGGGAAAGGCCTTGTTCACCTCGCTGGAAAGTACAAAATGAAATATACCAAAAATATAAGAAATTATTGAATACACTTACATCGTCGTAGAGGAACTCCTTCTCGAGAAGACTGATTTCTTTCTGGACTGACGTCCAGAACCATTCTGCTTTAACAACCCATGCTCTAGGAGGTCCGTCTGGTCTCTCCACGCCTGACGCATCGTCCACCACCTAAATTATGGAGAAATTTAGAATGTAAAAAAAAGCATAGTTTTAAACCTTTCGAATAAAATGTTTCTAGGTGTAGTCAGGTTCTCCTAATCAATAGTAAATATTTTCGAAAAGCATTTAATGATATATAAAACAAACAGCATTGAGACAGTGAATCACATTTCTATAGAGAAATTTTCCTTAGATGCTTCTCGAAAAAACATCCAACAGAATTGCACAACACGCAACAAATTTATGTGATATGTATGCAATTCTGAAATGAGGTAGTAAAAATTTCCTTTCAAGGGATTGAACAACCCAATCGGTTTTCAAGGGTTCAATTTTTAAAAAACGTTCATTATTATTATTCTTTAGAAATTATGTATAATCAACTCTTCTGTGCATAAAACCTTTTGGCTAATCATTTATCAAATTCCAATTTTGGTGATTTATCAATAGTAAACATATGGTTTTACTTAAAACTAATTTTACTAGTGACTACTGATTTCTGCTTTGGATTTTTTCATAAAAAAACTTATGTCAATGATACCCTGAAGTTGGGAAGTCATCTACGAACATTTGGGTTAATCCAAGAGTTATTTCTATTGTATGTGTTAATTTTTTTTTCTATTTTATTCCTATCAAAATATTATTTTCACATACAAAATACAATAACAATTTTTAAAAATTTGCATGCCAATACTCTTAAAGTACAGTTCCAAGATTAGAAGAAAAGAAGAAACAGCAGATTTAGATGTAAATGTATAAATAAAAAAAAATTGTAACATGCATAAATGTCCAACGAAAAAAAATTAACCAGTATGAATAAAGATAGTTTTCTTAAAAATACAGGTATTTGATGAAATAATTTGAAAGTACAGGAATATATGATTTTTCATATAGCCAGAGCCATCTAAATGTTTTTAATATCCAATCAGGATAACTTCACATTTGACTGTTTGCTCATATTAATTATTTTATTCATGTTTTCTTTTTCAATATTTCATTATTCCTTTGAATTTATATTTTGATTTTGAATACCTTTTCATAAACTTAATATTGGCTGCTAATATTAATTACTTTTCTTATTCAATATTTTATTTCAATAAAGACAATGCAATACAATACAAAAAAAGGGTGAAAATTTGTAAGTGGTGGTCTTCAAACTTCCAAAAGTTTGTTTAAAAGAAAAAATTTCTAATTTTCCTAACAACGTTGAATTAAGGTAGTTTTTCATTAAATTTTTTAGTAGTTATGAGATTAATTTTTGTTAATTCTGATATTAAAATATTTCTTTCAAATATGACTATCAACAGCAACCACCTCGTTCGAATAAGTAGTAGTCATAAAGACACATTTTAAAATATATTCCACACAGAATTTTTTCTCTTCTTTAAAACAAAAATTATTGAAACGCCTCCTTTTACTAAAAATTGTTGGAATGTTAGTGGCACAGTTCTTTGAAAAACTGTAAATTTTTGGTAACTTTAAATTTCTGACAAAATATTCATAGTCATGAATTGTTTCAAGTGTTGTCTATTGTGCTCTGAATGGTCATAAATTCCATTTCTAGAACTCATCCCCAACATTTCTCAAAACTTCACCAGATATTAACCAGCAAGTAGCTCTTCCCAACTGTCTAGGGTGTTAAAAACGGTGATCTTGGAGATCATTCAACTGCTCTTCTTCTATCAATCTATCTAAGAATCTCTGGTTTTACCACTGCCAAACGGGAAAAAATATATGAAAGTGAAACACCATCTTATTAGAAATGGAAGATATCTTCTTGAAAAACTAAATTACCTCACGTATCAATTCAAGTTCTGATTTCGAGAGTTATTACACTATCAAAAATTCTTTTGAACAAATTAAGTAACATTTATTTAGGTTTTCTTCAACAAATAAAGAACCAATAATGATTTTTCAGAAAATTACAATCCCAAATAGTAACTCTTGTGTTCATTTGTATCTTCTCAATAAATATGGTTGATTTTCGTCAGTCCAATAGGGATTATTTTGTTTTTTACATCTTCATTCAGACAAAATAAACGTTCATCGCTAAAATAGATATTTGACAAAATATTAGGGATGCATAAACTAGTTAATAAATGGTTTCACGAAATTATCCTCAAACAGCTCTTGATATCTACAGTTTTACTAGTTTTGCAAAATTTTTCCACCAAACCAAGAACATACCTACAACCTACATCTTGATTTGAATTTATTTCATTAAAAAGAAATGTCACACTGACCTATTCATAGTAGTAAAATAAAATGTTCTGACTAAAATTACAGCTGTAACAATGTAAAAATATAGTATTTAATAAAAATAAATGAGTTATTATAAAAAAAATCGAGACTCGATACAATAATTTTAAATTATATAAGTGATAATTTGAAAACCACTGCAACTGAAAAGAGAAAGAGTGACATCTACTTTTCGTATCTCCCTCTCATAACCAATCATAATCCTTAAGATTAACATAAACACGCCAACTCATCACCATAAGTTCCAGCCATTCTTTTGAGAACGATGAATTATCATGAAAGCCACCTGCCACACTATTGGTTAGTGAGTTATTTGAAATAGTGAAAATTAGTTTTCTAAAAGAGTGTGTTATCAACAAGTATGAATTATGAATTTCTGATCATTTGAATATTTAGTTAGCTGAATTAATTTCCTAAAAGAGTGCAATTTTGACGTTTATTGGTTGTGAGTTAGCCTGTCTCTTGTGATAAGATAACTGGGTTGTGGTGAAGCGCATTAATTCATGAAAGTAAGATATTAATAGTGAAAAGTTTCTAAAATCGTCTCCCTGTATAGAAAACCACCTCTTTTGTTGGGTCTATTAAACTACACAAATTCATATTTCAAAAATGTTGCTTCAAATAATACATATAAATGGTTTTACATCAAGTGCAACTTTTTTGTGACTTCAGAATTGTGTTTAATTCATAAAATTTTCAAAGTCGTTAGTTTCTATATGGCTCACAATGAATTATTCAACTACTTCTACCATAACGAATACTTCAAAAATACACTGGAAAAGGAAATTTTTACTACCAAACAACAAAGAGGACAGAGAATGAAATGAAGTTAGTACCGCAACAGCAGACACAGCAGAAATTCTCCTCTTCGCCCTGCCATATTCGCTGCTAAGCTCACAAGTGTTAGTGGTAATGGGATTCAGGGATATATCAGGAAAACAGCTGGCGTTCAATTTCTCTCTACCGTCAATATCACTCGGTTCACCGAACGATAACTTCGTAGCGTTCAGATCCGGATTTTTTCTAGATTTTCTACCGAACTTAGAGGAACTGAACGTTCGAGAAAATAAATTTTTCTTCGCGCATTTCGCTACACCTCTAGGAGTTGCATCGTTTTCGTTATATGAACTCAAATTCTGAATGGTATCTACGTTAAAGATTCCCGAGCTAGATATAACGCTCTCGTTCAAACTCTGATTGAAACTCGATGCGTCAATGGTACGCCTACGGTTAGAAAAATAGTTAATGGGCGTCTTGAAAAACTCTGAAACTTTTTTTTTGCGCTCGCTATAGCTCTTATCCCGTTTCCTCTTAGCCAATATGCTTGGCTGTTCGGGAGAAGCATACTTCCTCTTACGCTTATGAGGAGTTTGGTTAGAGTTTAATGACTGCTCGAAACAAGTGCTGTTCCTATTACTGAAGTTGACACCGATGTCATCACGAGAATGCTCGTGCAGAGTTTCCAAGCACGCAATGCTTTGACTCGCTTTGAAACAATAGCTCAGATTGAGGTTATGATTGACACCATTTTGGTGGAGAGGAGTTCGGGGAGTTTTGTTTGGAGGGGTTTCTTGCGGGAATATTTCAGATGAGGTTGTCTTGGCGGTAGGGGAGAGTGGTGCGCTAGCAGCTTCTAGTGTGTAGACTTCTGCATTTTCCATTACCTAAAACCCATGACCGTGCAAGTTTACTGTACTGTAATAGTGATCAGTTTGTCTGTGCATCAAATTCACATGGTAATGTTCAAATTAAATTTAGTTTACAATACTGCGATTTCCCTTCTTTCAGTCTGTCGAATCGATTAAGTTATTTTCAATCTGTTTGTTAGTTTTTGTTTTGACTACACACTCTATAAGTATTATCTGTTGATACTATCCACAATATCACAAAATTATTTTGTTTACACACCAGAACTATGAAAACACAGTTTCAGATGAACGTTTCGACAATTAAAAATAGATAATTATAACGTTTATCACAGTGTATGGAAAAGGTAATTTCATTAAATTCATTCTTCAGTATCTTGTAAATAGTCTACCTAAAAGATATTCGGAATCTTTACAAGATCCATTTTATCAATAACTACCCTACATAAAATTTAATTTTTTCAATATGATGATCAGTTTTGAATGTCCCATTTGGATTCGAGGGAATAATTCTAAATAAATGGCTTTATGGCATATTTTACACACTATATGCATACTAAATCATTCTATGAAATTATATAAGTTTTCTTATCAAATTGTTGACTCCAGATCAGTTTTAAAAACAACAAGTCGGATAGTACCACAACATTCAATCCTATTAGTTTTATATTTGAAGAGAATCTATCAAAAGATTCAATTCATACACTTCAAATTAAAAGGTGATATAAAATACATGTAATTCTTAAATAAAACAACACTATATTCTTCTAAATGGAAATATATATTTAGTACTTTCCCAGCTATCTCCAAAAATGAAAATTTCTCAGTAATACAAATCTTATGCTATTAAATGAAAAATTGAATTTTGATTTACATAACAAACTCACCCTGAAAAATATAAAAAAAAGGAACTAATGAAAACTAATAATTGAAATCGTTTTCTTTGTCATATTTTCAACATATCTTTCAATTTTTCTTTTATTTTTACTGTTTGTATATTGGTGACATTTTACTTGATCAACTCATTTATATGAGTCTTCAAGTATGCCCACTGACTATACGTGAAAGATTTCTTTCCTTATGCGAGGAATTGGGCAAATTTCGGATATGCAGTTGGTTACCTCGTTCACAGGCAGATGGGGCGACGACAAACCTGTTGTTTGTTGTAGTCTTCAGCTTAGGTCGAGGAATGATACTCTGACGGAATTCGATTTTCAATTATCGGAAATCATCGACTTTATGTTGATGATATACACTACCTTGCACTGACGAGTGGCCAAACAGCCCGAAACCGGGCTGTTTGTGTGTTCGAATAATTGAAAATCTATTGCGGCAGTTGTATCGCCAACAGCATATGCAGGAATAACTTCTGTGAAGAATCCTGCACTGACACCTGTCGGATATAATCCAACGCCCTTCGTGGTATTAGCCAGAGGAGTAGTTGTTTTCTGATAGGTGTCAGTCAATTAACCTACTGTGTAGGGTGTTGAGACTGGCCTGAACGAATTGTCGTTTTAGATGAATTCATTTATATATTCATTTCCATAACGACACAATAATTTGTTTTCTTTAGAAATTATTTTTATTCTTCTCGTTCTTCAAATATTATTTCCCTTTTTATTAAAGTCATCTGAATATTTTGGTTCTATTATTTTTAGTTTTTCAATATTTTTTTGTCTCCCATTCATTTCTTATAGATTTCAAATCACATAAAACTCAAGACACTGGATGTACAAAACTCTAATATTCAATATCGAAACTTTTTTTACTAGATTTACTACTCAACAGTAGTTTATAAAGTTTCAAGGATATAATTGTTATTAAATGATTTACTGTTTGTGAATATTTGTTAAATCACTTTCCTATTCATAGAAGAAACAGGTCAGTCACCTAGCGTCACTTTTCTATTGTAACATCACAAATACTATCTATTGAAAGTTACAATGATTTCTGGCAGGTAACCTCAGAATTTTTGCTGATGTAACTGGGTTACAACAGCATTTTTGCTGATGTAACTGGGTTACAACAGCATTTTTGCTAATGTAACTGGGTTACAACAGCATTTTTGCTTATGTGACTGGATTACACTCAAAAATGATTGACAAGATTTCTATAGTGGTTCCATACTTCTTACCAAAATAGTATTTTATTGAAATGAAATCAAATCTTTTAAAATCAATATAACTGATGACGAATGAAAACTCGATAAAAGTTATGTTACCATGTTAATGTTAAACTTTCAATCAAGAGTGACACTGACAGACAGACTGATCAATATCTGAAAGCATATTAAACCAACAAATAACAAGAAAGAAAAATCAATCAAAATACTCACCTAAGTATAAAAGTAAAACACATACACAAAATGAATAAAAGAAGAAATAGTAACTTTCATGGGTGCAACAAACGTATTTTAATGGGGAGTACTGTTGATATATCAATTAATGTGTTATCTGAGTGAGATAGGAACTGAATATTTATTTTGCATTGGCCATAAATTCCTGAAGTTGGAAACCACGGGAATTATGTGGTATTAAAATTTTGAGTAACTGGAAAATCTCATATTGTTATTTATCAAGCACTTAAAATATAAAACTGGAATTATATATCAATCATACTTGGATATATTTAATGATACAGTTTCAATTCAGCATTATGGTTTCAAAATATAAACCTTTCATCAATTCAAGAAAAGAATACCAAAGATGAAAGATTTGAATGTCCCAAATTATTTTCGCGGAAAATATTTTTCAAATAAATAAAATATAACTTGCCTTTACATTTGAAAACAAAAAAAAAATATGAATTTTGAATGAAAACATACTCTCTGTAGACTTTGAATAGACATCTTTATCAACTTCAAAAGCAATTTTCAAGTTCCCTCATGGAATTGCTAAAGGCGACAGAGGTAGTTCTTCAAATGGGGTATGTTTTCATTTAGATATAATGTTTTTTGTTTTGCAAGTTGTATAAATAGCTATTCGAAGGCATTAACATGTCATATGTTATTTATTTGAAAGATTTTTAATTTTAGAAAAGGGAAAACAAATATTGTCCAGAATATTATGTCAAAAATACAAAAAAACTCGTCTAATTTGATGATATTTTATAATAGTCATAAAATTCCAAGAGAAACAACTTTTTGAAATTTTCTTCAAAATTCGTTGAGATTATGCAATTTTCAATTTTTCAGCAAATTATCAATTTTGGCACGTACCAAATGACATTTGGTATCAAGTTTCTGTATTATTTTTGCTCTAATGAAGGTCTGTTAGTGATAAAACCTGCCGATACTTAATGAAAATCCATAAAGTATTAATCGTATTGTGGAATTTTCAGGTAACAGTTCACAAAAAATTCAATAAGTGAGTTTAAAATAATTTCTTCAGGTGTTCAACACTGGATAGTGAACAAGTGTTGCGGTTTTGTAAACAGTTTAGTGAAAATTTCACAATATGAAATATGTATATTTTCATGGTGACACTATATGAAAATATCACTTATAGCCAGCACAGTCCCAAACTCCCTCATTTTGAGAAAATCTCCCAATTTTGAGACATATTAAGATGATCAAATAATTCGAGATCACAACAAAATTCAACATTACTGTCAAATCCCAATTTGCCATTTCTAAGAATCCAATTATGGTATGAAGATTCATTTACAGGATTCACTTACTTATATATTAATCGAATAAATAATTGAATCAATACATGGAAATTAATATTTGTTAATGAAAATAAATATAATTCAACTCCTATCAATTCTCACCCTTTTATTACTTCATACATACTGAACAATAATTTGAACTAATGTATGAAAACTCTTGAAGTGAACACTTATTTTCAACTTTAGAGATATTCTTTAATAATAATAGACAATTCTATAGATAATAAAAAAATAGAATATAAGATCAACACTACAAAAATATATAGAAAGTATATAGTCCTTCCACAAACACAAAACAGTTTGTTTGAATTGACTAGTTCATAAATTCTTCCTTCACGCATACCGACTTTGTAACAGTGATTTTACTCTATGCAACTATTTTGTCTCTGGAGTTTGAGTTTTGTCAATTACATTGAAGAAATTATTTATAAAATTCCATCCCTTATTGAAATCAAAATAAAACCTATGTGCTGTATTTATATATTTATTTCAGAACGCACAAAGGACTTTATATGCTCAATACACCACCACGTAGCATTCTTACTTTTTTAATGGATGAATTTCCTATTGTTTAGAATGCTTCCAAAAAATGTTTTATGAAGATCTATTTGCAGAAACACAATAAATAAACCAATCCCGCAATGATGGCAATGAGTTAGAACAGATGAGTTACAAGCAGCCAAATTATATAACTATTAACGACTAAATACTCACCACATGGGTACAATTCGGATCATCAAGGGTCGTGACTATTCCACCATTCGACAAAAGCACCTCGACCATATGATTTTCTTCTTTTTCATCGAAACCTACAAAACATACTTTGGCACCATGGAATGGCTTCAATTTGTGTTCAGCCTGAAAAAAGATGAGTTTAACTTAAACATACTATTTTTTCTTCAAACATGAAAAATGAATATCTTTCGAGAAAATCAGAATATATTCTCCTCTTTCAGATTCACAAAGACTAACATAGACTCTGCTTGTTCTGTAACAAATGCCACTTGGCTCTTGACAGTGCCAGTTGATTGAATTTTCAAATGCAAGAATGTAAAATTATACTTTCAATACACATATTTCTAATAAATAATTCATTTTTTATTGAAAATACAGGTAATACAATCATCAATGTCACATGATACAGATCAAGCCATATTTCCATTTCTTGAATTTTGGTGATGAAGTCAACATTTATGCCTTAGGTACTGTCATCGATGACATGAGTAGATTTAACTCATTTGTGACGGCATAAGGTAATTTTATGAATGGATTGAGTGCTATATACTGTAATGTTATCCAGATTTTTGCTGAAGAGGCAATAAGGTAAATGTCTTATCCCGAAACATCAGATGTAGCCATTGAGGATGACAGTGTTCCATGTAAGTCAAATTGTGTAGCAATCCTGTGCATGATATCTGATTCAATTGCATAACAAATGTTTAGAGTAAAAACTGAACAGGAAAAAGTGTTTTTGGTTTCTGAACTGAGAATTATATTATTAGATTTATGTTTTTCTAAAGACAACTTTTTTTTAGAAGAACCACATGTATGTATTATCAGCCTTGGCATTGGGCCTGCAATAAAAAAATGAAAAAAACAAACCACAAATGTATCCAAAGTGGCTACAAAATCCAATTCGTGCCTTCGCTTCCAACTAGAGTGGACCCACTGAAGATTCATCACAGGCAACCGAAACGTAACTGCATACTGATATTTTTCACCCCCACAGCTGTTGGCTATCAGATGAGTAACTTTGGCTGACATGTCTTTTCTTATCGATCCACCCATGTGGTGAATTAAGGGTACCAACATTGTCTGAAACAGAAAATAATTTAAATGAATGTAACATTTTCAAATGATATTTTGAATTTGTTATTGTATTTCAGAACAGTCCTGAAGATGCTAACCATAATGTCATTGTATAAAGACTTTATATCTTTTACCAAGTAGTTTATCTGGCATTTCACATTCAAAAATAGGCATTTTTCAATGAGATTCGCATCATACTACTACTTGACTTTCATTATATCAGTATTAAGTTTTACTCAGTCTTTTGGGATCTATATAATACTTAATTCATTCAGTCCAATGATGTTAACATACGAAAAAGGGACCCAAAACGGTCCAGAATATCATCATCTGCCATCAGCAGAAAGAAAAATACTGTATCCCTCACTTCATCTTCAAGGTCAATTGTGCTACAATGGGAATATTAATTGGCAGATAGTTCATTGATTTTTACTAATCTTTCAACAGTTATAGGAATGTAGGCTTGTCTTGGTTGGTTTCCGGGTTTTGCCATGGTCTTCTTTGGTTATAATCTCCAAACGTTTCAACTGCAATTGGCATGTCAGTTGACACGTCAAGAAGAGTACTTTAACCACGCCACTTAAGATGACTGCAGTTGAAACGTTTGGAGATTATAACCAAAGAAGACCACGGCAAAACCCGGAAACCAACCAAAACTTTCAAACAATTTTTGACGATGTTGATGATAATATATATTTTAAATGTACTGTTATCCACTCCATAATTTTTTTTATTCTTCATTTTTTGCATAACTTTATTTAATTATTTTATTTGTTTCTTCAAAATGAAATGTTATTTTCCTGTTGAGTTAAGGAATCACATCCTTGTTTTACAAAAGTATTTGTGTTGATTGAACACCAATTGAAATGATGAAAAAAATTATTTTAAATTAGCAGAAAAAATATCATGACTAAAATGAAACTTAAATTATACTGACGATTTCATTATCCAAAAATAAATCAGCTGCCTCGTGTAGAATTTGGCCTTAGTGATACTTGAAAACTAATTTCGAGGAAACAGCTTCATAAGTTTCATAAATTATCTCCACGAAGCATTTCTATTAAAATCAAGAATAGCAGTCCTGCAACGTAATTCTACTAATTTTGTAGATCTGCTAGAAGCTGTTATTTGTACTACATAGGATTTGTAGATATAACATTGCATTTTCATATTGTTGTAGCCGTCTATATTTATTTCTGTAGCTTTTCAGCAGAATAACCCCACTATATTTTATTTGTTAGGTTCAAAATGGAGTATTGAAAATTATAGGACACTTATGAACCGAATCCAGTGTTTGCTACATGCTACATGTTTTGCTACATGTAAGTTCATAACTTACCAGTTCGTCCTTATTTCTAAATCCCATAAAACAAACAACAACTCCTGTCATCGCTAGAGTGTAGAGGGGCCTAGTGTTATCAGGAAGTTTTTCTTTCCTGGCAGCCAGCTGTTGGAGGGCAGGAGGACCCAAAAGGGGCAGTCTCAACTTATTCAATCTATTGAATACATCTCCTTCGAAGTTTTCCAATACAAATATCGTGTGACAACTATCATCTTGAGCAAATTCTTGTCCATCTTTCGAAGTCACCACAGGTATACCAAATGTGTCAGCCACTGAACGCAGTTTCAAATCTTTGGACAAGTTACCAACTAAACACAATCTTGAGTCCAGGTTGGAAGACACTAATAAATCAAATGAAAACATTAGTAAATGATATGTGGTCATGTGAATTTTCAAATTCTTGTTCAGAGTCAACCTTGAAAATTCAACATAACCTATATTAAAGAGGCTACTGTTGAAGCAGTAAATTCTACAGAGGTTCAAAACTTACAGTCATTTTTAGAAGTGTCATCACCATTGGAATCACTACATACTGAGCCTTGGGGCCGAATGCGAGCTTTAACTTCGTCCATTTTGGCGAAGACACTTTTGGTTACAACATCAATAAAAATCTATAACAAACTACTGTATTTTCCACTAATGAATATTTGAAAAACATCAACAAATCCCACTTTCGTAAACACAACCAAACTTCACCACTTTCAACCACTTTAACCACATTTTTTAGTGTTTTTACTTTGTTTGGAACAAAAAATTCATCTCCGTAACTTTGAAGACTAATTTGGCATTCTCATTGGTTGATTTTTAACATTCGGAATGTTCGGGACAATTCGACGTTTCAACGGCTTTCTGAGACGTCAACCGTCAGGTACTAGAATATAATTTTCAACAACTCTTTTTGATTTTTTTCTAAATTTATCTCCACGTCAATAGTGATATGTTTGAAATGTAATTAATTGGAAAAAGACAAATATAGCATATGTGCGTGGGTTGAAAATTTCTATGAGAACAAAATGATACATTTAAATCCAAAATTATTCACATTTTTCGGTCTCTTCCATTTCGTTAGTAAACTAATGAATCACCCACGCTTCTGTAACGGTTAAATAAAGTAAACAATGGTAACTGATTCAATGATTCAATTACAGGTAAACCACGATGCGTTCGGTTATTCTACTTGTTAACACAATAGTGTTGTCAAAGAAACAGAGCCGTTTTGATACTCTGAGTATTACATGATATTCCCTCAAAAGTGAGAAGTAATATCAATAACATGAAATTCAGAAGTAAATTTTAGCCAAACTTCTACCAGAAGTACCTGGCTGGATAACCCAGGGAGAAATCATTGGTGATCCGTTTATATATTATTCTGTTTCATTACAGAACAGCAGATTTATTAGAGCTATCGTCTTGAATTATAAATAATCAGTAAATAATTTCGCAAATTATATATTGTATAGAAAAGAAGTACTATTCCCGTATAAGTAAAAAGTAAAGGAGTAGCATTAACAACGATAAGCATAAAACAATTCTCTATTGATTTTAACATGTTTGTTCTAGACCAGAAATCATAACCCATAATAGCTCCCAGTTAGGAGTACATTCAAAAACATTTTCTACTGATCACTGCTTTAAAAATTATAGACTATATCGAATAAGAATTCGAATTGGAACACATGTATTTTTTTCGTGTTAGTCGAGTCATAATATGAGTTTCAATTCGAAATGAGAGATACTAAGCTGTCAACTCGTATCTTAGATATATCTTTCCTTGTCTAAGACTCGTACACACCTTCATTTTGGTGTTCTTAAAATTGTCTCAAAAGTCTCATGAAATCTCATGTCTGCTTCAAAAGTTATTCATGGTCAAAGGTCACGAAAAACAGTTTTCACTGCTGCACCTGTCGGTGGAAGACTGGACAACTGGATTGGTTTATAAAGTTTTGTTGATTTTACGAAATGAGTGTATTGAAGATGATCGATATTGTCCTCAGAATTAGGAGCATTATATATATCGCTAGTAAGATGTGTAATCCATTTTTGTATAATTGCTGTACAGGACAATCTTCTTTCAGAAAAAATTGAGCCAGTTGGTCGAAATTCATGAGTTTTTCTAGATATTGGATGAAAGTTTTCCCCCTTTTTTTATACACCACGGAAGTTGTGTCACAGTCACTAAAAGCATATAAAAATAATTTATGTTTTTTGAAAAGGAGATATATGTCTTTTTTGAGGAATAGATTTATGATTTGACATTGCACTTTCCAACTTTATAAAAATCTCCTTGAAGTAGTTGAGTATGTCCAATTAAAATAACGAGCAAATATATGTTTTCTCTAATGGTGACGGGAGTCCTCCCATGTTTGGATTCTTCCATAGCTATTTCTATGATAAGTACATCAGCATCATCTCTTGCTTGTTTTGTTATAGTATTTACAGTCTCTAACTTTTCAGTGACTATATCAAAAAGTGTTTTTATCAGATCGATTTGACCAAAACTTATCTTGACTAATTGGCACAAGCATTGTTTCGTCGAAACAAATTTCACAAAATTTCGAAAGAGAAGCTGTTCTTGTTAGTTGTTCCATCGCTTTTGTGTTTTTAGTGTAGTCTGAGTATTCGTCAAAAACAACAGTAGTTTTTGAACGATAATGTTTTTTTAAATACTTAACGTATTCATCTAGAACTACTGAAGAAGTATCGCCTTTACTCCGTACGAGGCGATGCAGATGAAATCCACCATCCACCACTATTTTCAAATATGATTTATGCAAATTGTTATTAATCATAATGTATTAACTGATAAATAATACAAATTATTTATTGTCAACAATATTTCATTAATTCAACAATTTTATAAACGGTATTATTGACTGAGATTTACGGTTGACATTGCATTACTGACTGAGCGCTGCGGCTTATCTGCCCTCTATCTTAAAAACGGTCAGGCCTTTGAAAAAAAAAATTTGAACGAAATTTGTCGGAAATTTTATGATATACAATTTTTTTCATTACTGTTAACATTATGGAGCTGTAGAAAACGAAATAATCGTGAAAAACTGATTTTAGCAACTTATGACCTTGAATAATTTCCATCGCAGACACGAGATTATATGAGACTTTTCAGACAACTTTAAGAACTCCAAAATGAAGGTGTATACGAGTTTACAGCTCATTATGTTTTATTCCGAAGTTGTCCTCTTACTTTTTGCTTACATGACTGGTCTATGTTGGCAACTCTGTGTATTTGTCATCAGTGTCAGCTGCCATCTGTGAATAATGTTTGTATCTCAGAGTAGTAATAAGACATAGAGTTGCCATGTCTATACCAATACAATACATGTTTTGAAACGGGTATCGTACTATCCTTTTCTGTACAACTTATCGGCAAGGGGGGTGGCGGGTAATGAGGGGTTATGGTGAGTTTGTTTACATTTGAAGTAAGTTGGACCATAAAACAGTGGCGGTTGGCTTAGTTGATAATCGGAGGGATATTATATATTTATAAAATAAATCATTTCAGGTGGAAATGTATTTTGTTACTCATTTTCATGTACAACGTGTCTAGTTTCACCAAACAAAGCCAACAACTCTGTTCTTCCGTTGGTGTCAACTGTCATTTCATAGTACATGTTTTAGCGACACCACTAACAACCGGAAAGTACTATGCACATATACTACACAAAGTATTTACTAGATTTTTATTCATGTATGGCTTTATAATAGAGCGCGTGGTTTAGTGGGTTGAAATTAAATTATTTCAAATGAACTAATTCATAACAATGATAAATGTTAATTTTGAAAGCACTGAACTTTGCTTCATATAACCAGATGAAGAAATTTGTGATTTATTCTCTGATTTGATGAACAAGCGGTACGGTTTATGAGGTCCCATATAAAGAATTTTCGATTAGAAATCATGAGTATTTATAATTACGATTGAGGTTTGATATTATTATGTGATTGCTTTCAAAATTGGTATCTAGGGGTTTTTGTGGACCGACATTATGTTTTTTCAATAATTCATGCTGACGAATTCTATAATTACGAAAAATCATTAATGTAAATGAAAAATATGTTTTTCATATGTGTGCCATAGGTCATATTCATCATGTGATCAACAGATTAAAAAGCTTTATGCTCAATGTTCAGTTTGTATACTATAGAGTTATTCTTGTGCAACCGATGTTATTATTGCTCACTTAACAACTGACGTACACCACACAAAGAATATGATTTCCGTTTTGGTTTTTCTTTCTTTGCACGAGGCTCTCGCGTTGCATACAGAATATATTCAATAAGAAATCACGGTTGTCATTTTTTTAACCTCTTTTTTGTTGGGATATGTCAAATAATGAAATAATATAAACCTAATTTCAAAAACTTTATTTATGAGAATAAGATCAAAAAAAAGATCATTAAAAACATCAAAAATATCCCCTTTCATAATGTCGGTCCACAAAGACCTCTATAGATACCAATTTTGAATGAAATCATGATTTCTAATCGAAAATTCTTTATATCCGCTTGTTTATTAAATCTGAGAATAAATCAGAAATTTCTTCACCTAATTTTATAAAGCAAAGTTCACTATTTTTGATATTAACATTTGTCATCGATATGAATTAGTTCATATGAAATAATTTAATTTTAACTACGCGTTTTATTATAAAGCCATACATAAATAAAAATCTAGTAAGTGGCCTTATTTTCATTATCATTAATAATAAATCAGATTTTCTGTAGAAACTATTTAAACAGAATACAATTTCACCTGAAATGATTTATTTCATAAATATATAATATCCCTCCGATTATTAACTAAACTTACCGCCTCTGTTTTATGGCCCAACTTACTTCCCGTAAACAATGTAAGGAGGGAAAAAGAATCTATTGTTTTTTGTTACTCTGAGTTTTGTATTGTTCATTTTTGAAATTGGTTTGTTGTCTCGTTTTCAATATATTTATTTTATTATTCATACTTCTCTTGTCTGAGATTCATACCAATATCATACATGTAATTTTTTCTGAGTTTGCTGATCCGAATATTTGTCATTAGTGTCAGTTGTCATTTGAAGTTGATGTTCATATTATACATTTTTGCATTTTATTTTTATTGTATTCATTTTCCATTGGGATATGTTCCAAAAATAACTAGAAATGTGGTTTGCTGTTTCTAAAATCACCGCTATTGTGGATCTACTGAAAAACCGGTTAGATATGGAAACGGTGAACCAAATGTCAAAATAAAATACTAACCCATGATTTTGAGTTGGGAGCACAGAATTGTTAACTATTCTGTGGTGAGAGTGACAACTGGCATATGACGTGTTTGGATTTGGAACATTTAAAAAGGTACTTGACCAGAAGTTACCTCGATCACTTATATAATGGGGAATGTTCCTCCTGACGAAAATCAAGTAGTTTTCATAAAAGAGCTCTAAAATGACGCATTTTAAACTTATCATTTCAACCTTTTTCTTTAAAAAATTATTTGAATACTTAAAAAAGAGGAATGAAATAATGCATTCAACATTTGAAGAGATTCGTTTCTATTTCACCATTTGGCAACATCAGTTATAGCTAATAAAGGACAATGAATCTGTTACCTGTATGAGACAAACAAAGATGACATATTTCAGAGGCGTGCTGTTCTGTTTACATATGTTCCGAGAAATTTTGTGCACCTAACCTATCTTCCTCTATATAAATAAATAACAAAATAACTGTTGTTTATGTGGCTTGTGGAGGTGGTATTGAACTATAATTTATATCTTGCCTTAATTGTTAATTCATTAAGATGATTTTCCTTTTTTAAAGTAGAATATCAAGGTACGTATAAATTATTTCAACTTCATATAGGCGGTGTTGCCAATATGTGAATTAGAAACAAATCCCTTTAAAAATTAAAACCCAACATTTGAAACAACAGCAATTTGAATACTTTTCGAAGAGAATTTGAAACACTCATGAATTAAATTCAACTTTATTTTGTTCAAACTTGCATTTACTGTAATAACCCAAATTGAGGAACATTCCCCATTGAATAGAACTGGTCGATACTTGATGAAAATCCATATTATTTCATCATTACTATTTTCTATAAGAATAAAAAAGTTTCATTGACTCAAGTACTTTTCAACACTGAAGAGTTCTAGTATATCTTATTTGGGAAATGGATAAAATGAACTACTTAGGTTGAAACAGGTTTATTTCTATATACACTTGGTAAACTTTGAAAATAACTATGTTAAAAAATGATTTGTTTCTGTTTTCTAAATTCATTTTTTTGTCTTCTTCCGCTTGTCGTGGGCAAATAGACCCTGGTCCATTCTTCAACATAATATTTGAAAAATATACCTATATAAAAAACCTCACCTAATGAGGAACCTCAGTTCCTCATAACTGTCTCATGATAGAATAGTAGGAATGTTTTTATCGTCAGCTCATGGAATTCTTCAAAGTTGGAAGTCCTTTATAATTTTCATTTTATTCTGGTGTTTAATTAGAACTTAAAAATGACTCTTGAAAAGGAATTGTCAAGTCATTTATTATTTCACGAAATTTCAAGTTGAAACTTGATGGGACAGATGTAACAGGTGAATGCATTGTCTGAACTTTGAACCGATTCTATGTGTAAAGTAAACATTTTTGAGTATTTCTGTGGCTGGTTTTGCCTAGGAACACTCTGTGGTGATTTAAGTAAAAATTTTTGAGAATCTTCTATCAGAATGAATTCCATCTTTTGGGGTATTTATGAATACTAATTTAAAAGCGGACTATATAAAATTATATTTGGAATATGCTAATTTCAACTAATCATAAAGTCGCCAGAATTTTTTTCAACAGTTTTGCTAGATAAAAGCATACAAGTGAAAAAATAAAAAACAACTAAAAATGTGAACAACCAAAAAACAAAAATGGAATAAACAATATTAAAAAATAGAAAAATTGACGAAGACAACGAACGTGGAATACATTGAATATTCAGAGGTCTTATTTTAAGCGGAAAGGACATTGTTTTTGACATATCTGGTTGCTCTGTAACACATGCCCGAGTCCCGAATCTTAAGAATCAGAGGAGTCTAGTTGGAGGAGTGTAAAGAGAAACCTTTAGTTTTCTTGATGGTTTCTGGAAATAGGGTTTCATTTAGGAGAGTGAGGTTCAGTACATTGAACCCTAGGGTAAGATCCTGTATTTTGTTGCTTTTCCTATTGAAGCAAACATTGTAAAATATAGAAACTGTCAAAACTTTGATTTATTTTTAGAGACAGTTTGAATCCAATATTAATTATTCATTATTTTCATTTGTTAATTCGTTTCAGTGTTAGGGATGCAAACCCTTATTTAAACTCTCAAGTTGGTATACAGTGACAAGTGTTGAAGAGGGGTACAGTATTTATGGAAATTTCTGTAGATTACATCTGCCAAGGGCCGAGAAGCTGAATCAAAAAAAGAGTAAGGAGACGGTAAAACAATAACAACAATCAAAACAGCTATGTGAGAATTTATAATACTTCAAAAAGCTATATAAGTATATAAATATATGTATGATAAAAATTAAATAAATAATTGTATCACGTGTAGAACACAATAAACAAAATTGTGTCAAATAACAATTCATCCATTCAAATAATTTACTCTCATATAAAATAACAAATTCAAAATTTCGGTACACTCTAAAAAGCGCTAGGATTTTGTTGGATCAACAGTGACTTGCTCAATCTTTTCCTTCTTTTTTTGTCGCATTTTCTAAACCTTCATCCTCGTCTTCATCGCTATAATCATTCATGCTGTAGTAGTTCTTCGAAGAAGAAGAAGGAGGCGACGGCGTTTCGTATCTGGGCGACTTAATGGGTGGAAGACCATCTTCCGAGAAATCAAAATCCCCAAGACTGGAGGACGGGCTGCACGGCGGAAAGGGGGACGAGGGGGGACTAAGCGCGTTGAGAATTTTTCCTTTGCTCTCGTTCCAAATATTCGATAACCTCTCTCTGCCGAATAGCAGCAGAAAATTCTCGATAAACTCTCTGGACTTCTCTTCCCACTTCGCGATCATGTCGTCTTTTCGCTCTCCGATGGTATCCATAACTCTCTTGCCCCTGTCCTTGAGCTCGTGCATTTTGTTCTGCAACCTGATTTTCTTCTCGCTGAGATACGAGATGTTCAGATCTTTGGCGGAGTATCCTCTCGCGAGATTCCTTCTGACGTAAATATCATAGTCTCTGACTATGCGCGCCACAATGTCTGACGTGGACACTCCCTCTGTGCGTTGAGTAGCAACGAACATTCCTTTCGCCTTCCATGGTGCATAGATGTCGTTACTGCTATCCGATCCATAAGGGATATCATCGTGTGCTGAAACAATGATAGATCAGAAAACTGATAAAAACAGAGACATTGGAAGAGAAGATCACATCTGTACAATAACAATTTATAGATGAGGTTCAGGGAATAGGACAGAAACCGCCTATCTTATATGTTAAGGACATATACCTATAACTCCAACCAATTTTCTTCACATAATACATTTTAATGAAAATATATAGAATTTACATGTACTTAGATTGGAACTAAATTTTGTAATAGTATCTCAGCACGAAAGGTGCCGCCGTCTCCCCCTAAGAAGGGGCCATCTATGGGATCGATAGAATACTGAATCCCCGAATATCAATAATAAAAGAGGTTCCCAAGACGAACCGTTGCAAAGATTTGATCCATCCAAATCCACTGAGTCTTCCGTCGATCCATCAAGCATATTAGCAGTTCCAATGGCCCTTTTCTACAACTATTCAATGAAATAAGTATCCAATAACTTCTGAGGATTGATGCCACTTTGGCCTCTGTACCCTCTACCCAACTGTAGTGTAGTTGTTTACAAATTGTGAACAACTTGTTTGTATTGTAAATTAGGTTAAAAACAAGCAAAACAGACTAAGATACATGGGATACCAAAATCTGTATTTTTATTCAAATACAATCAAATGTTGCACCAAGTTGCACATTATTAAACTGAACACACACTGTTGCCAATTTTTTCTTATTTACAAATGAAAATTTATTGCAGAGTGATTTGAATAGAATTAAATGCAAAACATGAATGCATTGCATTTTCAGTCAAACAATCATTTCTACTTGAAATACAAGTTCTGACATTCATTTACCGGGGGCCCCAGTTACAAGCCCCTTGTGTCCTTATGGTAGAGACGGACCTTCGTTTCCTCAACATGTCTCCAGCTCAAACAATATTTCTCTACTAAGATTCTCAAATATCTAGGACATTGCCTAAATATTCAAACTAGTATTAACATTTCCACCAAGAAGACAGCAATCAATAAGTGATAAATAAAAGATTGGAAATTGAGTACAACTTTAAAGTCTGAAATAACCTTACACTGACTTAAGAAGTGAAAATATATCCCAAAGTTGATGAATACATAACATATACACGATTCTTCAGTTACCATACTTTCTTAATAGCTCAATTTCGATTCAGTCATTTTTGTTTTGTTTCGATCTGAAATAAACTTGATGGAAAATGGTATCTCCCAATACTTCTGAATGATGGTTTTAAACCATTTCTTGTAGTCTAACTTATGCCAAATATAGACTTCATAAAGTTGTCAAATCAGCTTATAATCCTCAGAGCAAGACAAACTAAGGTATTATGTGTTCCAGAAGGCAAAACAACTTCAGAAACCTCTTTCATGTGGTTTATTGGCAGTCCTCAGAAAGATTTAGGCCCAGAGAAAAGAATCCTTTGAGAAAGTCATCTCTTTCCTATTGCCTTTGATTCTCCTACTTCATTTTCTCTGTCAGGGACAATGGGGAATGTTCCTCAATTTGGGTTATTACAGCAAATGCAAGTTTGAACAAAATAGTGTTGAGTTTAATTCATGAGTTTTTCAAATTCACTTCGAAAAGTATTCAAATTGATGTTTCAAATGTTGGGTTTTAATTTTAAAGGGATTTGTTTCTAATTCACATATTGGCAACAGCGCCTATATCAAGTTGAAATAATTTATACGTATCTAGATATTCTACTTTAAAAAAGGAAAATTATAGTTCAATGCTACCTCCACAAGCCACATAAGAAACAGTGGTTTTGTTATTTATTTATATAGAGGAAGATAGGTTAGGTGCACACAATGTCATATGTCACAGAATGTCTTGGAACTCGGAACATAAGTAAAGAGAACAGCACGCCTCTGAAATATGTCATCTTTGTTTGTCTCATACAGGTAACAGATTCATTGTCCTTTATTAGCTATAACAGATGTTGACAAATGGTGAAATAGAAACGCATCCCTTTAAATGTTGAACGCATTATTTCATTTCTCTTTTTAAAATATTTAAATAGTTTTTTAAAGAAGATTGTTGAAATGATAAGTTTAATGCGTTGTTTTAGAGCTCTTTTATGGAAACTACTTAATTTTCGTCAGAAGGAACATTCCCCATTGACAATCTCAAGTTAGGTTAGACACACAAGCGTGTGATACTAGGCCTTTTGAGTTGAATCCAGAATTTTCTCATATCCACCCAGTATAGTAGACAAATACAGTGAGTTGTATTAAAATAAACCGAAGTATATATCATCACTGGCAAGGAAACGTAAATCTGGAACCTCTAGCATAGAAAAATTCCAAAACAAGTACTTTTCCCGAACACAGAACTGCAATACTCTTCTCGACGCGTAATTCAACAACCAAGTTGGCGTCTTTATTATATTATTGGTAAGACTGATATTCAATATAGGTTGGATCTTTCAAATTTTTTCTGAAAAATGCCGCAATTGCGCTATGAGTGTACTACAAGTTTGAATATTCACCATCGAGAAACTTTGTGGAGGATTCTTAATCAAAAACAAATGTGGAACGAATGCTGATAACTTTTCTGAAATTCTGAACATTTATGGACATTCTGATTTTCAATTTGTGAAAACTCATGATGAAACACGTTGAATTGAGTCAATTTGAAAGCACAATTAAGAAAACGTTCATATTCAAGAGAACTATATCTTGTCCTTTTACATTTTGAGAAGAAAGGGACATGTATTATGCATTTACAAGGAAAACAATTTTTGGAAAAGTATATTGAAAGTAGAAATTCAGAAAATGATTTTTTGAATATTTTAGTAAGTGCAACTGACAGTACAAAGTATCTAGCAATTGTATTTATTCGAATATTTAGAAAAAAAATGAAGTCATACCTATAAAGTCAATTTTGTGTTTTTCTATGTATTCCTCATTCAGTTCCCATGGAGCATCTCGAACTATTTCATCAACATAACGGCAATGTCTTAAGGCTTCGTAGCGCTCCTCTTCATTCATTACAGTTCGACCTTTTTTGCTGTGGGTCAACTCATCACTGCAAACTAAAAAACAGGAGGTTATGCAAGTATTGCATTTTGATGCACTGTGATGTTATTACTATAATTTGGATTTCATTATCATATATCAATATATCACCAACACTTATAATAAAAGTTCAAGTGATCTCTGCCTGTACATAATGCCTGATGATAGCACATTGTTAGCTTCAATGGAAAACTCTGATCGGTTTGAGAATCTCAGTTCCGACACCTTCAAAAATGCTCAGGATTATTTCATGAATATAATATTGTGTCTTAATTATGATAAAAAACACAACTTTACTCTTAATCACAACTCAATCCTGGAGGAGAATTTACAGGACATCGACGACCGACGAGATTCGTCTTCTGTCTTTCACTGAAGCTTTCACTAAAAGGCAACTAGTTAAAAACCAGAGCCGAAACAAAATGCATTTATGATTCAACGACAGAAAACGCTGTTTCGATCCGCATATTGGCATACTGACTTCCAATGGGGAATGTTCCTCAATTTGGGTTATTACAGCAAATGCAAGTTTGAACAAAAAAAGGTGAGTTTAATTCATGAGTTTTTCAAATCCACTTCGAAAAGTATTCAAATTGATGTTTCAAATGTTGGGTTTTAATTTTTAAAGGGATTTGTTTCTAATTCACATATTGGCAACAGCGCCTATATCAAGTTGAAATAATTTATACGTACCTAGATATTCTACTTTAAAAACGGAAAATTATCTTTATAAATCAACAATTAAGACAAAATATAAATTATAGTTCAATACCACCTACACAAGCCACATAAACAACAGTGGTTTTGTTATTTATTTATATAGATGAAGATAGGTTAGGTGCACAAAATGTCATATGTCACAGAATGTCTCGGAACTCGGAACATAAATAAACAGAACAGCACGCCTCTGAAATATGTCATCTTTGTTTGTCTCATACAGGTAACAGATTCATTGTCTTTTATTAGCTAAAACCGATGTTGCCAAATGGTGAAATAGAAACAAATCCCTTTAAATGTTGAATGCATTATTTCATTCCTCTTTTTTAAGTATTCAAATAATTTTTTAGAGAAAAAGGTTGAAATAATAAGTTTAATATGCGTTGTTTTAGAGATCTTTTATGAAAACTATTTGATTTTCGTCAGGAGAAACATTCCCCATTTGCAATATCGTAAACAATGTACTTACATATATGAAATCAATACTGGAAAGATACCTCTAACCTCATATTCAGTCAGCTGACTGAATAATAATGATAATATTAGCGTGAAGTTTTATTAGTAACTCGATGATGTTCATGAATCGAGAAAACAACAAACCTATTCATTATTTCGTTAAACTAATACGAAGCCTGTCCAAAAAATAAGGTGAATATTTATATTTCGCCGGCTACGTACATTCAATTAGTGATTTTTCATTTTTCTTATGTTGGTACACTAGTCTCGAACATTTGTTCACAGTTTCAGCTGTTTAGCATGTTTAGTTTGTTGGTGAGAGGCATACAAGTTGGAGTGTTTTGCGTTTACGGCGATTTTTTGCTGTAAAAAAAAGGATCTAATAATTTTCATCCGAGTCAGAAAAATGCTCAAGAGATACAAGCCTTTCACGGGAGGTCGAGAGTATGTGAATGGCGACGCTCGTCCTGGACGCCCAGCACCTCAACAACCGATGAAAATATTGAGGAAGTGAAGAAAATTGTTATGGTGAATCGTCGAATCACTATTAGAAAAGTTGACTTGTCAAAAGGATTTGATTGTAATAACCACAGAATACTGCTGCGGAAGCTACATCATTTTGGCTTCCTGGAAACTGTCTGAAATGGTTTGAATCCTACCTTACAGGATGTAGACAGTTTGTTAAAACCAATAGTTGCTCAAGTACAAAGAACGTGAAAGCAAAAGTACCCCAAGGATCGATCTTAGGACCCATACTTTTTTTACTATATGTAAATGACCTGGCTACTGTACGTATTTCTGGTAGTTTCGCCATTTTTGCAGATGATACCACACTATTGTGGTATCATCTGCACACACACACCTCCGGGTGTTTTGCACTCAGAATAGTATTAATGGAACTAGGATTTCACGTAGCAAAAAATGTTTATTATGCTCTCATAGACTCTCACTTAACGTATGGCATATCATTTTGGGGTGTATGCAGTACGGTATGGTGTCTCTGTGGAGCAATGTGGAATGGTCCTTGTAATCCACTGTTTTTAATGCATGGAATTTTAACTGTGACTTCATTGTTTAGTCTTGAATCAGCATATACACAAGAACAAAGGTACCTTTACTTCTCCGCCTCACCACAATAATACTAGACAAGCTAGCCAATTAAAGGTTCATATCCCAACAAGTAGTCAAATTAAGAACTCAATTATATATAATGGAGCGAAAATGTATAACAAGTTACCTAAAAGTTCAACAGAATGCGTCACGCTACTATCTTTTAGGAGAAACTTGAAGGGAATTCTGGTCAAAAAGGCTTACTATACATTAAATGAATTTTTTGAGGATAACCTCAACACATAACAATATTCATGTGTATGTATGTATGTATATATGTTTGTATATGTATGTATGTATATATGTATATATGCGTACATACTATTTGTAGTGTTTTTTATTTATACAAAAATTACTCAATCATAGTTTTACCCATGTACAAGATATTACACTTTAACAAAGATACTGTTTGTATATGTAATCATTTGTGTATATTAGTACATTTATATATTTACTTAACAATTTATTAATATTTATAGTTATTTTTTTACCAGAAAAATGTTTGTCGACAAGATGTATTTCTTATGACATTAAAAGTATCTCTATCTCTCATGTCTCATGTATCGGTGTTGGTTCATCCAATGCAATTTTTTCGTAAATTTTGGGCATGCAGAGTGTGGCAGTGAAGTTCGTTCCAAAATTGCTGAATTTTAACAAAAAAACTGTCGCCTCAGGAATTGTTGAATGACGTCGTCAACGGCGATCCAGATTTGCTCAAGAGGGCCATAACTGGTGACGAATCATGGGTTATGACATTGAAACAAAAGTCCAATGTTTCCAATGGCACTGCCTAGAAGAGCCAATACCAAAAAAAGCAACGCCAAATTTGATGAAATGTCAAGATTTTGCTCATTGTTTTCTTCGATTGCCGTGGCGTGGTGTATCAGAAGTTCTTGCCACATGGCCGTACGGTCAATAAGTAGTATTACCTTCAAGTTATGCGCCGTTTGCGGAAGCAATACCAAAAAAACGTCCGATATTGGGAAAAAACAATGCATGGCTTTTCCATGACGATAATGCACCTGCTCACTCGCCATTGCTTGTTTGTAATTTTTTGGCCAAAACAACACCATAATCACGCTTCAGCCACCGTATTCACCAGATTTGCCCCCCTGCAACATTTTCCTGTTCCCAAGATCAAAGAGACCCATGAAAGGTCGGCGTTTCGCGACGATTCAGGAGATCAAAGGCGAATCGCTGGGAGAGCTCAAAGACAAACAAAAAAGTGCATATCAGAACTGCTTCGATATCTGAGGGGAATACTTTGAAGGGGACAACATAGAAATTGATGAATAAATAAATATTTTTTGAGAAAAATGGATATTCATCTTACTTATTTTTTGAGCAGACCTTATATTAGCTAATAACATTAATAACATTCATTTAATAGGCCAGAGTGAACAAAATTATGAATTTCTATAAACTTACAGAACTGTAATCTTGTAATCCATCCAATCAATCAATGTTGAAAAAATAATGATGTGGGCAAGTCTAAAAATATTAACGACCAATCAATATCTGCAAGTGGTGCGAGACGAGTTGATTGGAGTTTTTCCGATCATACGATATTGATTGATGATAAATAATTTCAAGTATTCTCAGAATGAAAACAATATAATGCTTCTATTTTCACATTTGAGTTATCAGAATTAAAATGTAATATTGTTTTATATCTGCACGGCGTAAACAAAACAAAGAAATATTATCAGCGCTATCCTCAAAATTAAGTTTCAAAAGTTGTTTGAGATTGAGAAAAATTATATCATGAGAAGATATTCTGTTACCAAAGTGATTGGGGATTATACAAAAGTTGAACCTATAGATATTCAGATATTTACAATAGATAATTCATGATAATAATGAACAATTTTCACAAACATTTTTTATTTCTAGGTGCGTTTCTTCTTAAATTATTATCATGGATAGTGATACTAATTTTCAAGTAACGGGTCAGTCCATTCATCATTGATAGATTTAAAAAAATCATCAAAAATTATCAATCTTTATAAAATAAAAAATAATGACGAATGTATTGAACTGAACTCGATTAAAAAAATAAAAATGGTTATAATGTTGAGTGTCTCGACAGATTGAAACCGAGTTGAACTTTCAACTTTTCAATCTTTCCCGGTTTGATTGGGGTCCATTGTATTCATTGTATAAAATATAAATTATTAATTGAGCAATGAACATTTATCATAGAAATGTGTTTTATCCACTACGAAATCTTTTCCAGAACGCCCGAAATAAAATTCATAATTTTGGACTATTACACCATCGAGAGGTTCATCTACTGATGAAAGTCTAGCCGGCTGAATTTTTTACTGAACATATATATGGAGATTCTGGAGATTCAACTTAAAACACTTATTTTCAACAAAAAAATCTCCAGGAAATCAATGAGTTTGTTCAGAAATACCTATTTTATTGTGATGTTTTGTGATTTGATATTATTGAATATTAAGTTTTTGTTATAATACTGTATAATTTTGAGTAATTTTCAGTGATAACAAAAAATAAAAATAACTTTGCACCAACAACTTTGAAAATTACTTACTTTTCAAAAGAATTGACCTTTGTCAACACCATAGTTGTGTAAATTGTAATATTTCAGGCTTTTAAAATGAACCGTCTTATACAAGATGCTGTCTATTCATCGGTAAAAAATAAAATTTCGCTTAGATGGCCATGACTTCAAACCTAGATGTATTTTGCAATGCTGAACAACTTTTCTAAATAACATTTTCCGAGATTTTTCAAAATAAGAGTACTTTACTCTTGTCATAAAATCAAATATTTGAAGGTTTCTCGTATATTACGTGTGTTGTACTGTATTTTGTTGGTGCATGTTTAGTTTTAGGGGATGCACAAATTTTTATCAATAATAACTTTTTGTCGAAAAACCCTTAATAAATAAGTTTCCCATATGGTGCATACTTTGGGAATGAGACTGTATATAGCTTGTTAAAATAATATTCTAATAATTAGATTTACCAGACTATTACATAAGAACACGTTGTAAAATTAATTAAGACTAGTAGCTAAGGCAATATTGTGATAATTTTATATAGCTTGTTAAAATAATATTCTAATTATTAGATTTACCTAATACATAAGGACACATTGTAAAATTATTTTAAAACTATTATTTTATTTTAACAATCCAGTCGGTACGTTTTATATTGATATTTTAGATTTAATTATGAATTTTGGAAATATGTTGTATATTTTTTCATAGAATGTAGCTAAAAGGACTGTTATATTGGTTGGAATAGAAACAAATTTAAGACTTGTAGATGAGGCAATATTGTAAATTGTTTTAAGACACTTATAATCCGGTCAATCTAGACATTGGAAGGTACATATATTTACAACAAGCTGCAAACTCGTGTAATTGTTCAAAACATAGTTAAAAACAAGATTTAAAAATTCCGAATGATTGCGATGCCTGGAAAAAATTTATTCGAGGTCAAAGCTCAAAAATATCGAAAAAAAATTGGTTTTTCGCGATTTTCCGGAAAACGGTAAGTTTTATCATAAAATAACCTCAAATAAAAATTATAGATCATAAAATTCTCTACAAAAAATGTATCAATACTTTTTTCCTTAGAGCCACCGTTTCTGAGATACGACGAATCAAAAAGTTGTAAAAGTTGTAATCGACATTATATGCACACGTTTCCACGCTACCTATGAGGTAGTGTACTTAGCGGTTTTTTCAAACGTGGTTACCCCAGTAGGCCTATACCACATGTCTGTTGTGGTTCTGTCAAATTGAAAACTTGCATAATAAAATATATTAGGAAGGGTTGGAAATTATAAAAGCGATTGAAATTAAAATAATGTAAAAATTTATTCATCTGAGTCATAACCTTCAAATACTTCAAATCCTCCACTATTGGTGATTCAGCATTAGAACTTGACTGGCCCTGACAATGTGTACATGCCAGAGAACACAACAGTCCAACTTTTTTACAACCACATTTACTGTGGTTGTATCCCTTTTTACAGTTGCAAAAAATTGTGTTCAGCAGTTTTCCGGCGCAGATGAGAGTACAGTCTGAATAGGTTCTAATGCATTGTCGACCAACTTCCAACCCCAGTCTTTTGGGTCTAGCTGACAACCAAGCCACACTTGAACTTGGTAATATATCCGGAAAAGATGTTGATGAGCAACAACTGAGGTTGGAGGAAGACAAGCTAATTGCACCTGTTTCTTATTTTTAGTGATTTTTACGAAACATGCATATCGATACTCATCTAAGCAAGTGGTTTTTTTCGGAGCTTTGTACATAGAAAGAAGAAATTGAATCCCGTTGGTGATAATTTCTTGTTGAGTCGAATTACTTTTTTTGAAAACTTCAGCATTTTGAACTAAATCTTGTTTTTCAAACATTTTAAAGACTGTTGCTTTACCCCTCCTGTAAAATGCAGACGTCGTATCACAGCCAGTTATTGCGTGTAAAAATAGTACATGATTTTGACTCTTTGCAAAAGTAGATAAACTTTTTGACGAAAATATTTCGGTTTGACTTTAAGCTTTTCCTGGCTTTAGAAAGAAAATAGTTTTTTCAGGTGGAGTTCGAGCAGTAAGAAGTACGAGTAAGTCTACATCTTCACCAACAACAAAAGTTGTATTTGTCAAATTAAATTGCTCTATAGCTGTTTAAATAATCAGTACGTCGACATCGTTATTAGCCTGTTCAACCAATATATTTTCGCCAATAAACTTATCTTTCAACATTGAAATGAACCGAGACTTGTGAGTATTTGCAAGAAATTTCTGTTGACTGGTGGGAACTGTCATAAATTCATCAAATAGAATATCGGAAGATGAAGATGTTGCTAAAGTTCGACGACGTTGTTCTGCAGCTTTAATATTTCTCGTGCAATCATCAAAACCATCAAATACGACCGTAATTCTGGCACCAAAATGTCTACGTAGATACTGAACGTATTCATTTTAAATTACAACTTCAGAGATGTATATACGTGGCATACTTATACATATAATCTCCAAACCTGAACGAAATTAAGATGGATTTCGTCGGAAGTAGGATTAGTTTGATCTTCCTCGTGATCGAAACTCGTGTCGAGGTGTTAAAAATAACGGTTTGGTGTTGGGAAAAATCCAGCAATATTGATCTCCAACAGTTGATTCAGATAGGCTCTTATACAAATACATCGGCTGACATTATTGTAGACAAAGTTGTACTCACCTCCCACAATGAGGTAGACGTTAGGAAATACGTTTTTCGCTTGCAGGAGTTGTCTGGCATGACCTTGGTGGAACAAGTCGTATATGCCGTCCGCATATACTCTGACAGCCCGAGGAAAAGACCCGCTCAGAGCCATTTCGTAAGTGATTTTTTGCGAGTAGTCGCATAACTCTCGATTTCGGATAGCTTGGAGATCATCACTGAAAGGAGCCTCGGTACAAGTAGATGACTGAAAAAAAAAAAATAATGGTCAGTTATGTCTATCCGTTATGGTTTCCGTGTTGATAAAAAAACAGATGTATTCCTTGGCTTGTATCAGTTCATGAAATACTATTATCATTAGGTAATTAGGTTAGGTTAGGTACAATGTGAGTGGGTCTATTCAACCCTCCACCGCAACCCGCAAGGGTTCATTGTGGCTGATAGGTAGGTAAGTACGTAAGGTAGTAAATTCACTGGAATCAATGAAGTCGCTCCGGAGCGCCAATTAATTTTTATTGTTGTTTTTCATTTTATTTTTATCGTTGTTTTAATAAAATGTAAGACAGATACATATTCATCTATTACAGAAGAAAAAAATATATAGATACATAAAATTTACGGATTATATAATCAATCCTAGGAGAACTAATGAAACTTACGGCTATCTAAGCAAGCTGGTATAGTAGCCAGCAAACAAAATAGTGATTTTAATCCTATATGACCAGATACTAGGAAGAAGAAAGGAGAAAGGAAGAAGAAGAGAGAGGACGAGAGAGAGATAGAGACCTGTTTGTGATGCGCAGTGGAAGGCACCTCTAATAATGGATATTCCTTAGTATCAGTAGAAGCATATAATTAATGTCAACGATACTCTCTTGTGAATTTAAGTTTGTTTCTCATGCCTGTCAATGATTCAGGTAGTGTTGTAAAGTTGACACCTTCGTTCTTAAATANTTTAAGACGAATGTATGGTGTGGCATATTAAACGATCAAATTATAGGACCATACTTTTTTAGACATAATTTAAATTCTGCGGACTACCTATGTGAATACCGAACTATCTGAAGTTTTGGATAATATGCCCCTTCAAGTAAGAAATGTTGTGTGGTATCAGTGTGATGGTGCACCTATTCATACTACAAGGGTGGTTAAAGATCGTCTTTTGGAAATATTTAGGGGCAAAGTAATCAGTCGCAATATGGAACAATTTTGGCCGGTACAACGGTACTAGGTATCAAGGTCGGATTTTTTTTATAAAAAATATTATTTTCAGTACTTTTTTAGTAAACAAAACAATAATAATGACACGTCACTTTTCGTCTAGAGACCGTTATCAACTTTTTCAAATGGAATATGATACCTCGTTTGATAGGCATTTCAATTCTCCGACAGGGTTTTATTTTTGTAGATCAGGTCAGTCGTTCCTAATAAACTAGCGGTTTTATATTATTTATAGAATCTACAAACAAACGATATATATATCATCTAATGAAAACACACTATCCCCCAACGCACGTTTCGCTAACCAAGATAGCATCCTCAGAAGATGACCAATACCAATTCTACCTGTCAAGATCAAAATGATAACTTCAGTAAACATTCTATTCAAAACTCACTCCAAAAATGTTCACTATTCACTTCCTAATAGTGATAAAGTCCGTTCACAAATTCATTTATCTCATTTAGGAATATTTCTGAGGTAATTTCGAATCAGATCGGACGTTTCCACTGGAGCAATATTAAGCAAATTTCTTGTTGCTCTTGCTCGTTGCCGAAAACATTTCACAAAAGCGGTCACTAAAATTTTCCGTTTGTTTCGACAACAAAAGTGGTGCTTTTGGATATATGTTGCCGATTCCCATTTCTAGCGGTAAATATCAAAGAAAAATTAGGCAATAAATGCGTGTTTCTGATTGTTGTTTGAGCAGTGGAAACGGCGTGACGCAAGTTGAGAAGTAATGAAAATGTGTATCTTCTTTCCGTACTGTGGTTCATCGTTAATCCATAAATAAATATACCGTTTAAGTGGACAAATGTATTAAGTGTATACGAATTAGTCGATAATTATACACTAAGGAGACATAAATTTCAGTGTAATACGCAATCTTTCCATTGGCTACAATTGAAGATTGACAAAAAATGTGTACACTAATGTTACTCATTCTTTTTCCGTACTGATAATCTTTTTAAATGACGTAGCTGCTGGCAGCCATATTTCCGTCTTTTTTAATACTGGTCCTGACCCAGTATTTATGTTTCTCTTCCCATTCATTATGTATGCCTCTGCTCCTAATGCCATTTATACTGAACCTTCATCACATCAATAAGAAATAAAACCCTTTCGTCCAAGTTTGTATATATGCTCCGCTCCGATACGGTGTAACTACTACGACTACTACTCCATTCGGAAATCCACCCATGGATTACCCATTGATTAATTTTTACTTCGCTTCCCCATATGGAAAAAATCTACTCCGCTTTGATCGAGACTATACAGGGGTGCGCAAAAGTCCGGAATAAAATTAATTTCTTTTTAACCAGTATTTGAGGAAAAAACGCTAAACACGTCAGTTGATTTCACGTTGTACGCATTTTTTTACTCATGCGGTTACTACGACATGAGAAAAAACTCTTTTAAAACCAAATAAGTTAGAAATACCTACTTAGTGCTATCTACGGATGAATTAACGTTACAAAAAACAAATAAGTGGTGATGATGTACATTGCTCAACAATTGCTAAGGATCACAAGTACCTACTTTCTAAAAGTTTACAAATTTTCAGAACAGACTAACCGGGCCAGGCACCACAAGAAATTTTATTGATTTATGTGTAAAACTGATAACGTAATGCAGCATCAACATTCTGTGGATTTTATTTTTTCACCAAAAACTTACACATAAAATTAGTTCCATCCCAAGCAATTGTTGACTAGTGTAACTCAAAAAGAGAAAAAGTTTGTTGCATTTTTTGTATCAAAATGAATGCCCTGATAAGAACTATTGTTTTGACTCAGTTTCAAAATTGTGGCATTTCTGGGTGAAATTGAAAATATGTATGTTTAGTTTATTAATTGGGTACCTTCAAAGTGTTTTTTTTTAATTTGCTAAACAAAAATGGTATTGTCAGAGAGGCAGCGTATCGAAGTCTTGATATTGTTGAGATGTGGGGATAGAATGCGGAGTCAAAGTGAGGTGTGTACTTTATTTAATGCAAAATATCCGGAAAATCACATTTCCCGGGCTACTGTGAGTAAGATCTTACACAAATTTGAAGAACATGGTACAGTGAAGGACTTGCTCAGAAGCGGCCGGCCACATGTTTTAGACGAAGATCAATTGGACATTGCCGTATCTCTGCAGGAAGATCCACATTTGTCAACGGTTTCATTAGCCCAACACAATCCTGCGTCTAGACGTACGATTGGGAGGTTTTTGAAAACAGAAAAATACCACCCATATAAGGTATATCTTGTCCAAGAGCTCTTGGAAGATGACTATGACAGGTGTTTGCAATTTTGTGAGGAAATAATGAGGCGATGTGACGAGAATAATGGGTTTCCACTCAACATACTTCGTCTTTTCGGACGAAGCTACTTTTTATTTACATGGAGTAGTTAACAGGCACAACTATCGATTCTGGAGTCAGGAAAACCTACACTGAATATGCGAAGCTCGTACGCAGCGTCCTCAAAAAGTAAATGTATAGGCAGGCATCATCAACAACAGAATATTAGGGCCATACTTTTTTTAGGAAAACCTTACAGCTGCACCCTACTTAGACTTTTTACGCTTTGAATTAGTCCCTGCTTTAGCTGTTATGTTTCCCAATGAAGCAGATCCAGATATCCCCACTGAAACACTTTGGTTCCAACAAAACGGTGCTCCCCCACATTTTGGTATCAATGTCAGAGAATATCTCGATGACATATTTGCAGGACGCTGGATTGGACGACGTGATACAATTGAATGGCCGCCAAGATCCCCAGACTTAACGCCATTAGATTATTTTTATTGGGGATATATGAAAGACAAGGATCATCAAAATGGGCCGGCTAATATTGAAGATCTAAAAAGCAGAATTAGAGTGGAATTACATAACATACCGGCTGAGGCTATTCGGAATTCCGTAGACGGGAGTTATATCAGGAACTGATAGTTCACCGGTATAACATTACAGATGCATGTTCCCAGACCAGGTCGTTAGCCGATCCAGCTTGCTTACTCAGCATTGCGTCATATGCGAACTTATTTATACACCTTGTTTTATTATTCAATTCATTCAATTGTAGTTATTTGCCTTAAATGTACAAATAAAGTTTTTAAAAAGTCTCAAAGCAAATCCTTCGAAATAATTCGGGTTTTACCATCGCCTAGGAGCCTGCCAAGTAGAGGGTGGAGGCTAATTTCAGCATCTGTTACGTTAATTCGCCCTCTTTTCAAATGAGTTTTTAGGTATTTGTAACTTTTCGAAAGAGTTTTTTCTCATTTCGTTGTAACCAAAAAAAAAGGGTATGGTCAGAATCCATTTTAACGAGCTTTTCAATGAGCCCATACACGACATAGGTTTGCATTTGAAAAAAAAAAGTTGGGGAGGGTTGCAGCTAAGGGGTTGAAAAAAAAATTTCATTTTATTGCCAAAAAATGCGTACAACGTGAAATCAACTGACGTGTTTCAGCGTTTTTTTCCTAAAATACTGGTTAAAAATATATTAATTTTATTCCGGACTTTTGCGCACCCCTGTATATCAAAACTGTACATCAGCCGCGGGAAAAGTGTTGTAATTTTTATTATTTCGGGTTCTCTGATGAATGTCAACAGTTCTTGACACTTGTCAGCCTTGATAGAAAATACGAATTTTTTTTGGTGTCATCGGCATCGACAACATTGGTCATTATAGCCTCGTGTCCTGGGTATGCAATGTTAATAACTTCCCGAGCCACCTAGGAAGCATCATGACGATTCGCAGTCAGTCAGCCATGTAACGTTGAGGTTGGGATCGAACTCATCACCTTCCAGAGAATTTCTGTCCGACTGTTTCAGTCAATAGTAACGCGATAACGTTTCGAATGGATCAATAGAAGAATTTCTAGGAACTCGGCCAAATTTAAGAGTTATAAAATTCAAGATAGACGAGATATACTTAATATAAATGAAATACAACTAATTAATTTAGTGATTTTTGTAAAATGGGGTTTATATTGATACGGATGCACCAGGTGCAACATTATCATGGATAAGTAAGTTG